GCTGACACCAAGAATAAACTTCTTCATTTACACAGCACTCCTCAGCATAAATAAAACATGGGCACTCTGGGCTGTGGCTTTGCAAGTATTTTTGACCCAGAGTATGGAGTTTTCCAAGTCATCCCTGTCTGATTCCTTTAATTAGATGGTTATGTAATCAACAGTGGGAGGGACTCAGTTACTTCTGGATTGGCTTCCTTGGCCACACTGATCACAAGCAAACGTGGTCTGTGAGTGAAAATACACTTTCATGGGTTTTTCCTTCTGTATTTGAGGTCAGGTGAATTTTGTAGGGCTGAAAAAGTTGAGTTTCCCTCCGAGTCACTGCAGGATCTGAGCAACCCATTTATTATTTATAGGCACCACAGGCAGCACACAAACAATTCACACATCTGCCAAACAAAAATAACAACAAAAATAATGCCCTAAACTAAGGAGACTCCTGCTGCCATCCTCCAGCACAAAACCAGGCTACGCTCCCTGGCAAAAGCAGCACAATCCCTGAGAAAGGGTGGAAAACAGGAAGGAGACCCTGGAATTCCCAGTCCTACTGAGATGGAATCCACCTGCCATCCCCAGTGTCCAAAGGGGTTTTGTACAGCTACATCTTTTTCTCCGGGAGGGAAAATCCAAGGTGGAATTTCATTGACATGAAAATGTCAGCATGGATCAGGACAAGCTGTGAGCTGCACCAAACACAGCCTGCAGCTCCCTGGGCTCCATCTGGCAGAGCAAGGGATTCCCTCCTGGACTTCTTCTTGGACTCCTTCTCGGAGTCTGGCAAGCAACTCACCCACAGCAAACCCAGAGCAGCCTCAGAGTCCTTCCCAAAAAACTGGAACGCAGCCTGAGCTCCAAAATCCTGGGAAAAACCTCTCAGACTCTGGTGAAACGCAGGGACAGCTCCTGGCTGTAGCTGTGACATTCCCAAAGGATAACAGGCTCTGAGGTTTCCCAGAAACTGGACACATCCCAGCCAGCCCCACTGTCCAGCTGGCAACTGGAGCAGCCCCACCAGTTTTGGGGGGGAAAAAAAAAAGCAGAAGGACCAGAATTGGGGAATCCACAAATATTGAACCCTACTGCAATTGCTGCAGTGGGCACAGAACAAAGCTGAATTCCCCAAAGCTGGAAGCTCCTGGATGGTGCAGGTTTACCTGGACAGGTGAGAGGCTCCTCATGCCTGGCACAAAGCCCAATTCTGCACAATTCTGGACCTTAAAGCTTTTCTCACACTGCACTGCAGCCTTTAGGCTGGGACCTGGTGAGGGCTTCTGGGGGGAGCTTTAGTGTGAAGAGATAAAAGACACCAATCATGTTCTGAGTTCTGTAATTTGCAATATTTGGAAACTACAGGGATTTTGTCAGGATTTATTCACCTGGTCTGGATTCACAGGCAAAATGAGCTGATGAAGAGATCCATGAGAGCAGACACACAAATTTAATCACTAAAATGAGCGAGAAATGGATCAGGGCAGGGGTGTGGGAAAGCATTAAAACGACCTAACAAAAAGCTGAACTCCAAACCCTAAGAGGATGGATCCCCTTTAAACACACACAGGGACAGGGTTCCACTTCATCCAAGGGAATGGCTGGAGCTGTGTCAGGGGGCTTAAGCCACATTTTGGAAAAGGTTCTTTCCCCAGAGGGTAGTGGGGCACTCAACAGTACCAGTAAAATCCCCACTGTGCATCAGAAGTTATTTTAAAACCTCCCAAGAAAGTGGTTTAAAATGATTTTATTAAACATCTTGGGCACTGGGTAATGGGTAACACAAAATATCTGAACTGTGTGGTTTTTTTCCCACAGATCAACTTCAGAAGCAGCCTAAGGAAGATAAAGTCCAAGGCTGAATTTCACAGAACTCCCTGCACTGAAAATCATCAACACAACCCCACCACTCCTACTGACAGCACAAAATGTTCTTATGTAGAAAAGGGTGGACTAAATTTTCTTGGTAAAAGGGATTCAGGAGCACAGCAGAGTTCACTGTGCCCTGCTGCCTTCCTGGAGGACAACTTCCCACATCAGAGAAAGGTAATGCATAAAAAAAATAATAATTCCCAAACCCCTCAAGAGAGAGAATCTGCATGGAAACCTCCCTCCTTTGGAAAAGCAATGGAAATATTCCCAGAGCTTGTGCATGCACATGGCAGAAGTTGGACATGACCACCCTAGAAGGGAGATGGACACCAAGAGTGGCCCCAGTGCTCCCAGTCTGGGCTCCTTCTCTCTCTTGGGGTTCCTTGGTTTCCCCTACAGGACTGATATATTCCAGGCCTGAGCTTGCCAGAAGTTAAATTTCCTGGCTTAAGGCTGAAAAAAAGGTGATCCAGGCTCCTGAGAGGCAGAAAAGTGATGAAACCCCAGCATGGGGAGAATCCCTCACACCAAGATACCTGTGGGCTGCAGGTGGACATCAGAGCAGCTGACCAGGCTTCTGTCCAGGGAATTCCAGCCAATTAATGGCAGGGAAAACCCCAATTAACGGCAGGAATTTAATGGCAGGACAAACCCCACAGTGGCCAAGCTCCCTTGGGAGCAAAGAGGCCTTTCCATGGAATCATGGACTGAAGTTGGGAAAGCCCTCTGAGAGCTTTGAGTTCAACCTTCAACTCAACCCTGCCGTGTTCCCCACCAAACCTCAGCTTCAGGGGCCAAACTGAACAATTCCAGGGATGGGGATTCCACCGCTTCCCTGGGCTTAATCCCCCAAATTTCCCATTTTCCTGACGGAGCAGCACAGAGGTGCAACCTCCCACCCACACCAAGGACTCTCACTGGCAGGGCTGGGTTTTCCAGGATGGTTTCATTGAACCTCTGGAATGGGGTGGCCAAGGCTCCTCTGTCAGACCCCACATTTCCTAAATCCTAAAATATTCCAGGACCTGCACAAAACCCGCAGGGATGAGGCTGAGGGCTCCCAGCTCGCTGTGTTTATGGCCTGTGCACATGAGCTCATCAGAAAACCTCACAAAAATGATGCGAGGCTCGTGGAAAACAACCAGGATGCAACAAAACTCCACAAAAACCAGCTGAGATGCTCTGCAAAACACCAAAAACACTCCAAGAAACTACGGAGGAGCAAGAGAGGATTTAAATGAACCCTGCACTGTGACACTCGGCGGAATCATGGAATGGTTTGGGTTGGAGGGGACCATCAATCCCATCCCATTTTCCCACCAGCCCAGGTCGCTCCAAGCCCCATCCAAGCTGGCCTTGGACATTTCCAGGGATGGATGGGCAAGGTTAAAACCCAGAAAAATTCAGTTGTTACCATCCTCAGCTTCCCACAAGTACCATCATCATCATCATCATCGTGCACTTCCTCTTTCACCCTCAAGAGAAAAAAATAAATCATTGATCCCAGTTTTACCACCAGCACAAAAATTTCAATTAAAAAGATGAACAATTCTCTCACCCATTTCCTCAATATTTGGGAAATGAAAGATCACTGTGAGAGGATTTGGAAAGGAGCAATTGTGATGTGGCTGAAGGAGAAGAAAGGATGAGTTCACACTGGGAATCCTCTCAGGATGTGGGAAGAGGGTCTAAAACTGTGCTCAGAGACCAACAAGGCTTAGAAACAAAACCTCAACAGCCAGGCCCTGCCTAAGGGATTAAAAATCCCAAATTCAGGAAATAACAGTCCAGTGAAGGAGAGAAAAATAATAAAAACATAAAGCAGAGTACCCAAACTTGAACAGAGAAAACATCTCCCCACACAACAAAAATCATCTGCAGCTGAAAGAAAGCTTAGACGTGGTAACCTCAAATGTAGGAAGTCTTGAGCTGAATTATTTCTGTCCCTTAATTATTATTTACACTAAAAAGGGCCTGAGCACCTCAGTCACAGCCAGGTCTGTGCTGAGCCAGATGTTTTAGAGCCCTTTTTTGAGTATTTTTATACACAGCCAGTTACACCCCTTTTTTATAGGCAATTTACAGCCCTTTTTTGGGTATATTAATGGAGGGGAGGTGAGTGATTAACACGTTTCAAGTCGCTCCCAACCTCCTGTACAGAGGGAGGAAAATTATACATGTGCAAAATGTAAAGAAAAATAAAGGGGAGGGAGAAAGGGGGGGTAAAAGGGGAAAAAAAGAGGGATGAGAGGAAAAAAAAGGGGGGGGAAGGGAGAATGAAGGGGAACTTCATCAGTGAGCTCAGAGGTTCTTTTCCAACTTAACTGGTTCTGTGATTCTGGGGCAAGGAATAGGAGGTGAAGGGGAAAAAACACCAAAGATGAAGGGAGGAATAAAAGGGGGCATGAAGAGGAACTTTATCAAGGTTGCACTCATTTAAAATCTCTAAGGCCTTTTACAAACTAATTGTAAAATTGATTATGGGGGAGAAAGGGGAGATGAAGGGAAAAAATGGGGGTGAGGGGAAAAAATGGGGGTGTGAAGGGAAAAGAAAGAGTGGGCAACAGGCAAAAAAAGGGGGGTTTAAAAGAAAACAAAAGGGGGGGTGAAGAGTAAAAAAAATGGGAGTGAAAGCAAAAAAGTGGGGGTAAATACAAAAAAAAATGGGTGAAGGCAAAAAAGGGGGGGGGGTGAAGAAAAAAAAGGGGGGTGAAGAAAAAAAAGGGGGAGGGTGAAGGAGGAAAAAAATAGGAGGGATAATGGGTTAAAAAAAAAAAGGTGGTGAGGGCCAAAAGCAGGCAAGAAGGGGCTCCGAGAACAGCAGGGAAAAGGGCGAAGCAAAAGCCCCGCCAATGTCTGCGGCCGCGGCCCAACTTCCCCGGCCGGCCGGGCCCGGCTCAGCCCGGGCGGGAGCTCCGAGGCCTCCCCGCACCCGCCGCCCCCCGGCCCTCGCTCCCGTGGCCGCTGCCCGCGCCGCCCGTCCCGGCCCCCCCGCGCTGCCCCGGCCCCGGGGCGGCCCCGCGGGCCCGGCGCGGCCGGGCGGTCGCGGCCGCCGGGGGAGCGGGTGCGGGCGGCGGGGGCCCCGCGTTGGTGCGGCTGCGCCGGGGCTGGAGGAGATTGCGCGGTAGGACGCTCACCTCAGAGCGGCTGCGCTGCGGCGGGCCCGCGCCGCGGGGCCGCGGCGGGCGGAGGGCGGGCGGCGGGCGAGCGGGGCGGCGGCGCGAGTCGCCCTCGGCCGCCGCGGTGGCGAGCGCGGGAGGCGGGGACCGGCGGCGGCGGCGGCGGCGGAGGAGGCCGGGGACAGCGAGAGGGGGGGAGCGGGACGTATGGCGTCATAGCGCCGCGCCGCCGCCATCTTGGGGAGGGCGAGGGCGGCGGGGGCGGCCATGGGCGGGAGGTCGGCGCCATGTTGGGGAGGGCGCGGGGGCCGCGCGGGGGGCGCGAGGGGCCGGCGCCATGTTGGGGAGGTCGCGGCCGTTCCCGCCTCAGGGGCGCTGAGGGACGCGGGGCCGCGGCGGGGCTAAAAGCGGGGTTGGCGTGGAAATCCAGGGGAACGCGGTCTGAAATAGATTTATTTTGGACATATATATGGTGGGAAAGGCCAGTTTAAATGGAAGTTACAGAAAAATCATTTTAAAATAGGCTCTTTTTCATATTTTTGGTGAGAACATCCAGTTTAAAGATGAGAGTTGCTAAAAAATCAGTTTAAAATACAATTTTTTGGGTCATGTTTTTGGTCGACAAATCCAGTTTAAAATGGAAGTTGCGGAAAAACAATTTTAAAATAAATATTTGTTTTGCATGTTTTTAGTGGACAAATCCAGTTTAAAATGGAAATTGTGGAAAAACAATTTTAAAATAAATATTTTTTTTGCATGTTTTTAGTGGACAAATCCAAATTAAAACGGGAGTTGTGGAAAAATCAGTTTAAAATTTATTATTTTCCCCATATTTTTGGTGGGGAAACCCAGTTTAAAATGAGAGTTGCGAAAAAATCAGTTTAAAACAGATTTTTTTTTTTTTGGCCATAATTTTGGTGGAAAAATCCAGTTTAAAATGTAAATTCTTGGAAAATACCTTTTAAAATAGACATTTTGAAAAAAAATCTGTCCAAAATAATTTGGTGCGGAGTTTTTTGCTTTTTTTTTTGGTGAAAAAAAATTTTTAGAATGGATTTTTCTTTCATTGTTTTGGCGGAAAAATCCATTTTAAAGTGGAAATTGTGGAAAAAAGGTAGTTCAAAATGGAAATGTTTCTCTTATTTCTTTTGGTGGAAAAAAAAATACAGTTTAAACTATTTATTTATGTTTTTATTTTTATTTAAGTTACGGTACGAAAGGGAAATTTCCCCTTTTTTGTGGAAGAACCAGTGTTAAAATCTACATTTTCCCATTTTTGTGGGAAATTCCATTTTTAAATTTATTTCCCCCGTTTTCTGTGGAAAAAACCAGTTAAAAATACAAATTGTTTCCGTTTTCTGTGGAACTCAAAATTCACCTCAGTGGACTGTCAGTGGGACTTAATATTATTAAAGGCCAATGTAAACAATTCCATGCTTTAGGGAGCTAAAAAATAAAGGATTTGAAACACAGAGGGGAAAGGAGCTGAGGGAAATAATAAAAATGGGTGTAAATCTGTGGGATTTTTGACTCTTGAGGTAGAACTTGATACCTAATTCCCTGAAGCTGATGGATTTCTTTTTTCCTTAGGAATGATATGGAAAACACGACGGGGACAGGCACAAGAAGAGTTCCCAGGAGTTGTTTAAGAGCAGCATGAAAAGCAAAATATTTTCAGGGATGTCCCTTCATTTAGAGACAATTTGTGTTTATTCCATGCTCCGTGCTCTGGTGGGTGAGAAAATTCCTTGGGATTTAAATTAATCACCCCATATATATATATACACACACACACATATATATATATATACACAGGTATATATACATATATATGTGTATACATATAATTCTATATATATGTATATATATATAGTTATATATATAACTATATATATGGTTATATAGATATATATGGTTATATATAATTATTATATATATAATGGTGTATGGTTATATAGATATATATGGTTATATATAATATTATAATTAATATAATATTTATTATATACTCATATATCCATATATATCTACCTATATATTTCTCTATCTATATCTCTAGGTGGATAAATAGAGATTCTATGGGATCTGGGATCCCTGTAGGAGGAAGGTCCTGGAGAAATGCGGGTTTAGGTGAGGCAGCAGGAGAATCCCCAGGGGCAGGATGTGACAACTGAGCCGTGTTTGAGGTTTTGGGAGCAGGCTGGACACAGCAGGCTGGGAATGCTGCAGGTGCAGCTGCTCCTGCCTCGGGCAGCAGGCTGGGTGGGGATCTCCCATCCAGGGCATCTTCCCAAGGTGTTGCTGATGGCTTTGGAATGAGCTCATGCAGACATGGGATTGTGAAAGTGCCCAAAATCCCCGAGTCTGTGCCTGCCGAGTGCTGGCACGTGTGGTCTCTTTTTTTGTGGGGGAAAAAAAAAAAATCACATTTAAAATTGATTTTTTCTCCTTGTTTTGGCAGAAAAATATCCATTTTAAAGTGGAAATTGTGGGGGAATAAAGCCAGTTAAAAATGGAAATGTTTCGCTTATTTTTTTGGTGGAAAAAATACAGTTTAAACCAGAATTAAAAAATAAAAATTATATTTTTTTTCTAAGATACAGTACAAAAGGGAAATTTCCTCGGGAACAAATCAACCCCTTCTCTTTGGAAAACTGAGCACCAGCACACACCTGAGTTCTCCTGGAAATCCAAGATGTGGTGGGCCATAATCCCATGTATAGAAAGTGGGAAAAGAACTTAACTGGGAATGTAAATGTGGCAGCAGAAGGAAGGGAGCCATGGGAATGCTGGAGCCTGGTCAGGAAATGCCAAATTCAGTGTTCAGGGAAAGCCTGGGGAGGAATAACTGTGGGGAAAGGTTTAAATGTCCCCATTCCTGGGTTTGGGAAGGGAAAATCACAGGAAAATCACAGAATCTTGGAAGGGAATTAAGGATCATCCAGCTCCAACCCCTGCCATGGGTAGAGACATTTCCCATTATTCCAGAGTCGTGGGATGATGTGAAAGGTTTAAATGTGCCCATTCCTGGGTCTGGGAAGGGAAAATCACAGGAAAATCACAGAATTGTGGAAGGGGCTTGCTTGGAAGGGAATTTAAGGATCATCCAGCTCCAACCCCTGCCATGGGCAGAGACACTTCCCATTATCCCAGAGTCCTGTGATGATGGGAAGGGTTTAAATGTCCCCATTCCTGGGTCTGGGAAGGGAAAAGCACAGAATTGTGGAAGGGAATTTAGGGATCATCCAGCTCCACCCCCTGCCATGGGCAGAGACACTTCCCATGATCCCAGATTCCTCCAGCCTGGCTTTGGACACTTCCAGGGATGTGGAGTCCACAACCTCTTGGACAACCTAAAAAAGTGGAAAAACCACTGACTCTGAGAGACCACAAACAGCATTTTTCCAACATTCACAATACATTTCTCACAGATGGGAGGGGACAGAACACAGCTGCAGCTCCTTGGCCTTCTTCTTCTCTCCCTCTTTGCCAGATTGAAAAGAAAACAGCATCCACTGCTTTCCTTAAAGTGTTGGACATAACCTTTCTCTTGACCCACAGATGGGGCAATTGGAGGTGTTTTAAAAGCTACAAATCCATTCCCCACTCTAAAGTGCGTCCTTGCACATTTCTGCTCTTTCATCGGAATATTCCCTCTCTCCAATTTAGATCCTTAAAGTTCTCCCCTTTTGCAGGCACTCCTCAGATATTTTCAGCTTCTTTTCACTTCTTATTTTCAAATATATATATATTTATTTATATATATCTATATATATATATATATAAATGTGGATATACTTTGATCAAGTTCACCACAGAATGGTTTGGGTGGGAAGGAACTCAAAGCATCTCATCATTCAAAGCATTAATGAGGAGACAAAGATCAGACTGAAGAAAGCAGAAATGAGGCAGGGACCTGTTGGGAGGAAGGCGGTGCCTTCCCATCCCCACACACCGGCCAGGATTTTTTTTTTCAATTGTTTTTTCTGCAGTGGTTTGTTTCCCTGCCCGTGGCTGCTGGAGCACCTGATAATTTTCCTTTTGTACTGTATCTTAGAAAAAATACAAAAAACCAAAACCAAATAAAACAAAAAAACCAAAAAAACCAAACCAAACAAAAAAACCCCCTGTTTTAAACTGTATTTTTCCACAAAAAAAAGGAAAAAAAATGGGAAAAAAAGGAAAAAAATAAAGAAAGAAAAAAAAGGAAAAAAAAGGGAAAAAAGGGAAAAAAAGGGAAAAAAAGGAAAAAAAAAAGAAAAAAAAGGAAAAAAAAGAAAAAAAAGAAAAAAAAGGAAAAAAAAGGAAAAAAAAAGACAAAAAGAAAAAAAAAGGGAAAAAAAAAGGGAAAAAAAGAAAAAAAAGGAAAAAAGGAAAAAGGAAAAAAAAGAAAAAAAAAAAAGGAAAAAAAGGAAAAAAAAAAAAAAGAAACAACATTTCTTTTTTGAGCTGGCTTTCCCCCACAATTTCCACTTTAAAATGGATTTTCCCGCCAAAACAAGGAAAGAAAAATCCGTTTTAAATATTTTTTTTCTTCCACAAAAATAGCAAAAAAACTGCCACCAAAACTATTTTAAACAGATTTTCCCAAAACGTCTATTTTAAAAGGCATATTCCAGGAATTTGCATTTTAAAAGAATGTTTGTTTTTTGGTTTTTGGTTTTTTTTTTCCCTATTTTAAACTGATTTTGCTGGGTTTTGTGGAGATAATTCCTTGAGCACCCTGACCGGGATGTTCGGGATGCGCTGATTTGTTCTGCTGGGTTTTGTGGAGATCATTCCCTGAGCAGGATGTTCGGGATGCACTGATTTGTTCTGCTGGGTTTTGGGGAGATCATTCCCTGAGTGGGATGTTTGGGGTGCACTGATTTGTTCTCCTGGGTTTTGGGGAGATCACGCCCTGAGCGGGATGTTTGGGGTGCACTGATTTGTTCTGCTGGGTTTTGGGGAGATCATTCCCTCAGTGGGATGTTCGGGGTGCACTGATTTTTTCTGCTGGGTTTTGTGGAGATGATTCCCTGAGCGGGATGTTCGGGATGCGCTGTTTTGTTCTCCTGGGTTTTGGGGAGATCATTTCCTGAGCGGGATGTTCGGGGTGCACTGTTTTGTTCTCCTGGGTTTTGGGGAGATCATGCCCTGAGCAGGATGTTCGGGATGCGCTGTTTTGTTCTGCTGGGTTTTGTGGAGATCATGCCCTGAGCGGGATGTTCGGGATGCGCTGTTTTGTTCTGCTGGGTTTTGGGGAGATCATTTCCTGAGCGGGATGTTGGTGATGTGCTGTTTTGTTCTCCTGGGTTTTGTGGTGTCCCCGTGGCCGGGCAGGTCCTTGCCCAGCCCAGCCCAGCCCTGCCCTGGTTTTTGTCAGCGGGAGCAGCGGGGTGAGCTCCCTCTGGGCAGGAGAGATAAACTCTGAGAATTCCCCAGCTCTGCTGCGCTGCCCACACAGGTACCGCGGGTTTGGCCTCTGAGGTGCCCCAAAGGCACAGGCAGCCTGGTTTCCCTTCAGACACTGAATATCCCACAGTTTTACCCCTGTCACAGAGTTTTTCCAGTTCTCACACCCCTTTCTGTGGCCTTTAGCCCAAATTCCTGAGGGCTAAGCCGTGGCTGTGGTGATTTCCCCTGTGAGGAACTCACATTTCTGCAGCCACGCTAAATTTTAGTTTGCTTTCTCAGCAAAATCTTATAAATGGGAGATTTATACCTAAATTTGTACCTAAACAAAGACACCCACGGCTGCTTTAAGGCCCTGCACCCATTTAATCAGAGGAATCCCATGCTGAGCTGCTGTCCCTGTGTTAATCAAGATAACGAGTCCCAGCATTGATGAAGACATGGAGGTTTGGGAAGATCAGTCCCAGGAGTCCCAGTTTAGCAGCATGTGGAAGGAAGAGTGTGGGTTGGAGGTGTTAATTGTCACCTTGTGCTGATGCAAGGGCAGCCTTGTGGGGAAGGGAGGAAAGCAACAAGAATTACAGGTTTGGAATATGTAACAATATTAAAGGGTGGAAGCAGGATGCTTTAAGAGATGAAAGGAAGGATGCTAAGAGAAAAGGGATTTAACAACACTCACTTCATGGAAGATCAGTGGGTTCAGGTGAGCTCAGCATTAGCAGAGTTCTGCCACAGGAATTCCACAGGGATTGGGACAGTCCTGGAGCCACCTGAGAGCTGGAAGAGCCTGGGACGTGCCAGGGGACACCGGGGAGATCACCAGAAGTGCTCCCAGGACATCACCAGTGTGAAGCCCACACACACCTCCTTCCATCTCCTCTCCTGAAGAAGCTTCTAGAAGAGAACTTTCAAGACCTGCTGAAGCATTCTGAGAGACCCCAGCTGTGGCTCTAGGGGAGAAAAGCAAAATATCAGCTGCCGGTGTAAGAGCTGGAAGTGTTTCCTACTCTGCTGTTGGCTTTTCTGGTGGTGGGAACAGAAATTCTGCAAAGCATGTGAGGAAGGCAGTGGAAAAGGATGAGGAGTTGATAAAAGTGTGCAGATTTCTAAGAAGAAAACTGTCATATATATACAGAAACTGTCAAAATATAGAGAAAGTTTGCAAAACAGAGCCATGTAAAAAAACTGCAAACTCTCTCCTGGGACAGTTCCCAGAGGGCAAGCTATAATTATGAGGTGCTCCCTCAAATATTGTACCTAATTTCAGGAAGTTCTTCCTGAGGAACCATCTCAGGAGCCAAAACAACAGGTGACAGAAGCTTTCAAGGACCCATCTCAGGCCGTGGTGGGGTTCGAGAGGGGCTGGACCCCATGCCAAACTCAATGGTTACAACTGGAGTAAGACCAAGAGCTTGGAAAGCTCCAGTACAACCCAGAAGAAGAGTGGGGTGTTCCCTGCCTCAGTGGCTTGAGGAAATCAGCTGACAACCCAATCAAACCCCACAGACAGGAAATCATCATTCTCAGCAGGCCCCTGCCCTTCTCTGCTGAGAATAATTCCATTTTATACAAGCAAAATGCTCCCAGTTGCTCCTCCCCAAGCACCTCTTGTGAGGGATACTCAAACCCAGGGTGGGAAACTCAAAGAGCCCCCACAAACAAACCTCACAGAGCAGGAATTCCCTCCAGACAGAAATGGTACAGATACCTCAAACCCAGGGTGGGAAACTCAAAGGGCCATCACAAGCAAACCTCACAGAGCAGGAATTCCCTCCAGACAGAAATGGTACAGATACCTCAAACCCAGTTTGGGAAACACACAGAGCCCCCACAAACAAACCTCACAGAGCAGGAATTCCCTCCAGACAGAAATGGTACAGCTCCAGCAAGGTTGGTCTGGCTCTGTAACATTTTGAACTGCCCTAAGAAACCCGTAGGAAGTGTCCCAGAGCAGGTTTTGTGTAAATACCAAAGGAGCCAGATCATTCCTGGTGTCCCCTGGGCAATCTGAGCCATTGTCACTGTTGTCACCAAGCCCTCAGCACACAGAGTGCAATGTCCTGCACTGTGGGAGCAATCCAGCTGAGCACATGAGGGCAAATTTATTCCACAAACCTCCTTTTTCAGACTGAAAGAAATAATAAATTAAAAAAAGTCTTAAAAAGCAAATTAATTTTTTTTCAGGAATTACTTAATTTAAGGAATGAGCATTTTACCACAACTGTGACAGAGAAAAGAGACAGCAGAGTTTTTTGGAAGTGGCCATAATTCACCTGCCTGTTTCCCATCTCCTTTTTGCCCCTAGGAGATCCCAGCATGACCAGCTCAGCACCCACAGCTGTGCAAAGCAGGGTGAGCTAATCCACATTTAAAGCCCCTTTCAGGTGTGTTGGCCATGTCAGCACTGAGAAAACTGCAGGAAACCCCAACTGCAATAATTATGGTGATTTAATTGCTTCACTGATACAACTTTAACTCAAACATTGGTGTTGTGACTTCTGATTTCACATCTCAGTCTGCACAGAAAACTCTTATTCCAGGCTGATTATCTCCATCCTTCACAGAACAGACACTTCCTATTAAATGATGTGGGAAAAGTGCCCCCAAGATTTGCATGACCTACTTGAATCATCCTGAGAGAGAGAAAACAAAAATTCTGAACTTCAATGTAATTTTTGGCTTGTACTAAACAGCTTTAAGCCTTTTTGTTTTCTTCAATTATCTGTGTGCTGTCTCCCTGCTGACATTTCCTGTAGGATTGTGGGGGCACTCGGCCTATCCTTGTATTTTCAGCTATTAAAAACACTCCAACATTCAGCAGTAGATGCAGGTGAACTTTTGGACATTTATGTCAAAAATTTCCACCAAAGAGAAAACTGTTCCTTTCATGGCACAGGATTCTGCTGCAGCCATGACTTCCATTAAATATTTCCCTCGTTTTTCTCTCTTTTAGTGCCAGTTACAGCTCGAGGACAAATGCTGACACTTTTCTTTTGCATAAAGAAGATTTCACACTTGGTTTACTTTAGCTTAGTTGTGAATATATCAGACTTTAAATTAAAAAATTCCTTTTGATTTTTTTTCTCCTGAAATCTTGTGGCAATAACCTAAAAGGAACACAGCAATTTTAAAGGCTTTATTTTAAAGTAATTAAATATTTTAAAATGAAATTATGTAGAACCCAAACAAACAAACCAAAAAAAGAGAGGGGGAAAAAAAAAAGGAAAAAGGAAGGTTTTTTTCCCAGGATCCTTTTATGGTCTGAGGCTGTTGAGATGGGAAGGGTCTAAAAGGTTCCTCTGAGGGGACACCCAAAGAAGCAGCACTCCTGAATTCCCTGAACAGCCCCAGAAAAGCCCTGGGTGATTACAGAGTGGATAACACACCAGGGTGTAACAAACCCATCCCAATGCTCCACCCGGGACACTTCAGTCCCTGCAGGTGTCCTGGTACCTGCCCACAACCATTCCTGTGAGATCTCAAACTCCATTCCTTTTGCTCCTTTGTAGGACAGTTACAGAAGCAAAAGAGAGAAAAACCAGCTTGTGTCATTTAAAAAATGTATACAGAGAGTTTGCAAAACAGAGCTTTATAGAAAGACTGTAAAATTAAGTTTTTTGTTCTTGAAATGGCACCAGGCGAGGACAGTGAAAGATTAATGAAGGAGAGAGGACTTAACCCACTGAAAACTTGATTTTATTTCCCTCTGCTGACGCTATTTAGTGCCAACATTTAAAAAGCCTCTTGCAAGGAAGTTTTGCTTTAAAAATTCTCCATGGGAGCCTCTTTGTTATGGAGATACCTTTTATGAGGAAAAGAGTCCTCAGCTCCCCACCCTCCCCTGGAGCTGGGAAATAACAGCCAGGGCAGCTCTTCAAATGAGAACGGGGACAAAAAGATCCCTGCCCCTTCTCAAGCCTTTCTCACACATCCAAAAATCCACTGTGCTCTTCCTCAGGTGAAATAATGTGGAAGGAGAAACCTGGCAACCCAGAAATGCTGGCTGGAGGGAAGGGAAAGGACAGGAAGCTGCTCACCCACAGCTTGAAACACCCTCATGCCAAATGTGGTGAATAACAGATTTTGTTAAACTATATTTATGGTTATAATTTATACTCATAGTTATAATTTATGTTCATAATTTATAAATATAAGTTATAGTATCTATAAATATTATTTATATTATATATTTATATAACATAAATAATATAAATATATAATATTTATATTTATATATAATATAGATATTATATATTATGTATAATATATTATATTATTTATATTATATAAATAATATAAATATATATAAATTATATATAATACCTATTATATATTATATATTTTTATAAACTATGTAATTATAAAAATATATATTGTATTATATATTTTTATATACGGTATTATTTATATTATAATATAATATTTATAGTTTATTTATATTTTGTTATAGTTATAATTTATGATTGTATTTATGTTTAAATTTAGATTTACATTAATGTTTATTTTTATATTTATTTATGTCCACCACCCCCATCCCAGAGCAGCCCTGTGACTCTCCCCACCCACAAACACACACACACCCCAACATCTCCTGTGTTTCTAACAGCAGGGCTCTGGTACACAACTTCCTGCAGGAAACAGTGGCAGCAGAGCACAGGAAACCCCAGCACTACAAGAACTTAACTCCCTGCAAGGCCAGGACACCACAAAGTTCCCCCTGCCATAAAAAAAGGGCACCTCCAGCTTGCAGATTCCCCTCACAAACCTCCTCGTGGATTTGGGCAGAGCAGGATTTATTCATCCTAAACTCGGCTTAAATCCTGCACCCCAGAAAAGCCCCAGACTCTTCCAGGCTGGGATGAAGCAGGATTGGCTGCCACTGTCACCCTGTCACATCCACAGAAGTCGTGGCACAGCCTGCAGCACTTTGAGGCAAATCCAGCCATCTGAGGTCCAGACTTTTCTTTAGAGATGTCTTTTGGTCTTTATCAACCACCAGGGAGATGGAATTGCATGCAAAATTCAACTGAGAGGTAAAAGGAAAAAGGAGGGGGAAAAAGAAAAGTGTTTCATTACTCAGTTTGGGATTTTTGGGAGGGTTTTTACATCTGCTGTCAAAGAAGTGAATGGCAACTTTTCAGATGCACTGGAAAGCAGAGCCTTTGTCCTCTGCACTTCACTGCTCACCATCTCCTGAGTTCAGTGGCATCACGCTGAAATCAGAATTTTTTGTTAAAAAGAGAACAAAATTATTATTTAATAAATATTCCAGTAAATTTTGGATACTGGAACGTGGAGTTTTGAAACCGTTGTAGCTCTAGTTTACCAGAGATGTAAAAATGGCCTTGCTCACTTTTAACCATCCTTAACCACATTAAGCAGTGGTTAGACTTGAGTGCTCAGAAGTATCTGTCCCTAAAAGCCCTCTGTGGTAAAAATATCATACAAAAATCCAATATTTTTGGGTTTTACTTAATTTCTTAGCTGGAGATGCTGAATACAGAGGTTGCAAGAGATGTCTGGCTTTAGCAGGCTGATGAGTGGAGCTGCTGTGACCAGAGACTTCCTGGTGGGTGGTGGGGAAGTGAGAACACAGAGAAGGCTGAGGAGGAGATGTAGGTGCACAGCTCAGAGCAGAGTGGAAACCACATCCCTGCGTCATCAGAGCAGGGAGCTGAGGCTCCTGAGCAGGGAAACAGGAAATCCAGCAGCCTGCTGTCCCCCCTGAGGACCTGCCCTGGTGCTTGGACTTGGTGATCCGTTCCAGCTCGGAGCTCTTCCATCCTGTGGTTATTTTCTTGGTGTGTTGTGAGAGACTGACATGTTTTGTGGTTTAGAGATTGCTCAAATCATCAATCAATCAATCAATCAATCAATCATCAGTCACTTTGGCCACAAACAAACTTTGGTATCAAACTGCAAAGGAGCTGCTGTCCATCTGTGGCCACCAGAGCCACCCCTCCCCAAACACCCCTTCTAACTGGAATGTTGGATTTTGAACCTGTCAGTTCAAATGCTTAATTTTGTCCAGTTCTGCCAGGTCTGGGAGGAAGGATGGATCCACGAGGGTGTTGGGAGAGAGCTGTGATGCTGCCAGCTCACACATTCAGGGAGCAAGTCACCATGTGCAAAGGAGCACAGCCCAGAGCAGGCTACAAACTGATAAGGGAACCTTTATCAGCTCTGAACAGGGCACTGCCTCTTTGTCCCTGCCCAAGGGAACTTATGGGGCAATCCCCTGCCCTGGAATATGGGGACATTCACAGGTGGCCCCAAGGTGTTCACCTTGGCCATAATGGACTGAACTGTGCTGGTATCAAAGGCAGCTGCACCATCTTTGAAGGTGTCAGAGAGTCCCCAAGTGTCCCATGACCCACAGCATTCCATCATCCAGGGTGAAACTCCCCCCTCCAGGGGAGGCACCTGGGACTCCCCACTGAGCCTGAGCGAACACAAACCCACATTTTGTGTTCTGTGCTTTTCTCCCACCACTTCTTGGAGATTTCCCCTCATCCCCTGGTGGATCCGCTCTGTGACCACCAACAGACACCGAGATTGCAAGCACCAAGTCTCATCACAAGACCTGTGGGTGGTGAGATCCTCCTCCTCCTCTCCCTTCCCTCTCTTTTTCCTTATATCACATTTTCTTAAGTGTTACTTTTATGTTTTCATATTGTCATATTACTATAGATAGTAACAGCCAAAATGGTTACATGGCTGTTTACCTCTGCAACCAAATTGCTCTAAATTAAACCCTTCATATATTACCTACATATATAATTTTTAAACCCTTCATATATATTTTTTTTGTCCCCTAACACCAATTTTACCCTTGGCTTTCTAGGGTGGGTTGTACCACACATAGAGGACACAAACCCAGTGGAGTTTGCAAGCTTCAAATGACAGCAGCTTGCTGACCAGCAATGCCACCAATTATGATTTTCCCTGGTCAGAACCTCCTCAGAGAGGGAATGTTTCAGGCTGGAGGAACAGCACCAGGATTTCCAGGCCTTTATTGGCTTGGGTTGATGATAATTGACTGTTACCTGGAAGTCAGAGGGGTGGAAAGGTCTGGGGGAGATGCACAGCTCCTCTCAGTGTGGTGCTTCATGGCTTCCCCAGGGCCGTGTTGAACACCCCTGGAGGAGATGCAGCAAGAGGGCTCTGAATGTGACACGGAGCTCGTGGTGTCCAGCCAGGATGTTTGGGCTGAGGATGTCACAGTGAGTGACAGCCTGGGGCTGGGGGGCCGTCACCACCTCTGCTGGGTGTAACAGAATCCCTGACAAGGCCTAAGTCACATTCCCAGAATCACTGGGGATGGAAAAGACCTCCAGGATCATCCAGTCCAACCTGGGACTGAGCCCACCTTGTCCCCAGCCCAGAGCTCTGAGTGTCACATCCAGGAGTTCCTCAGACACCTCCAGGGATGGGCACTCCAAAGCTCCCTGGGCAGCCTGAGCCCCTTTCCATGGGGAAATTCCTGCTGATTCCCCCCTGAGCTGCCCTGGCCCAGCCTGAGGCCGTTCCCTCTGCTCCTGTCCCTGTTCCCTGGAGCACAGCCCGACCCCCCCGGCTGTGCCCTCCTGGCAGGGACTTGTGCAGAGCCACAAGGGCCCCTGAGCCTCCTTTGCTCCAGGCTCAGCCCCTGCCCAGCTCCCTCAGCCCCTCTGGGGCTCCAGACCCTTCCCAGTTCCCTCAGCCTCTCCAGACCCTTCCCAGCTCCCTCAGCCCCTCCTGGTTCTCCAGACCCTTCCCAGCTCCCTCAGCCTCTCCTGGGGCTCCAGACCCTTCCCAGCTCCCTCAGCCCCTCCTGGTTCTCTCCAGTCCCTTCCCAGCTCCCTCAGCCCCTCCTGGTTCTCCAGACCCTTCCCAGCTCCCTCAGCCCCTCCTGGCTCTCCAGACCCTGCCCAGCTCCCTCAGCCCCTCCTGGCTCTCCAGACCCTTCCCAGCTCCCTCAGCCCCTCCTGGCTCTCCTGACCCTTCCCAGCTCCCTCAGCCTCTCGTGGTTCTCCAGACCCTTCCCAGCTCCCTCAGCCTCTCCAGACCCTTCCCAGCTCCCTCAGCCTCTCCTGGTTCTCCAGCCCCTTCCCAGCTCCCTCAGCCCCTCCCCACACCACTGCCTCTGTCAGTCCATCCTGACTCCAGCAGGTCTCAGGGACTCCCCATCCCTAAGGAGTGGCACAGGGTGGGTGAATCCATCCCCAGCACATCCCTGCCCCTGGAGGCACAGCACTCCATCCCACACAGACCCACAGGGTGAAGGGCCACGGCTGAAGTGACAATGGCACTCGTCCCCTGCCACTTGTCACTGTGCGTGAGCTGCAATCAAAGTGTTTTTGTAGGACACAGCAGGGACCAAGAAAAACAGCAGGGGACACTGGGATTTGAGCTGTGCACTGCCGAGGCCAGGGCGGGTTTAATGGCAGCAGAGTCTTCACCAGAGAGTTTGGTTCTCACTTCCTTTTCTTCCCCTTCTTTTTGAGAGAGCCAGGCCAGGGGTGGCCCCGGAACTGCAGGAAGGCGGCGGCATTGTGACAGATGTAGTAAGCGTTGAGCATGGCAGCTGAGCTGAACAGATCCACTGCTTGCACTTCCTTCTTTACACCCTTTTTGGATCTTTTGCCTTTGCCACCCTTTTTGCCTTTGCCGCCACCTTTTTTGTCTTTGCCACCCTTTTTAGCTTTGCGCGCCTGCAGAGAGAAAATGACCACAAACCCACTCAGTTCTGGGTCTTTGTCTCTCTCGGACTCCAGGCTGAGAGACCGAGAGAGCTGGGGGTGCCCAGCCTAGAGAAGGCTCCAGGGAGAGCTCAGAGCCCTTTCCAGGGCCTGCAGGGGCTCCAGGAGAGCTGCAGAGGGACTGGGGCCAAGGCCTGCAGGGACAGCACCCAGGGAATGGCTCCCAGTGCCAGAGGGCAGCCAGGGATGGGATCTTGGCAATGAGGAATTCCTGGCTGGGCTGGAATTGCCAGAGCAGCTGGGGCTGCCCCTGCATCCCTGCAATGCCCAAGGAAGGATTGGAGCAGCCTGGGATAGGGGAGGTGTCCCTGGAATGAGTTTGGAGGTCCCTTCCCACCCAAACTGCTCTGGGATTCTGGGATTTGGGACACTCAGAATCCATCCCGAGGGATTTTTATGGAAAATGGGGATGGAAAAGGGAAGGGAGACCCTTCATGGTTTGCTGAGATTCCAAGTGAAGCCCCTGGGTCCATGAATGTCTTGGAGAGGAGATGGATCCAATGTCAGGCTGGGAGAGCTGGGAATGTTCCCCTGGACAAGGGAGGGATCCAGGGAGAGCTTCCAGCACATTGCAGGCCTGAAGGGGCTCCAGGAGAGCTGCAGAGGAACTGGGGCCAAGGCCTGCAGGGACAGCACCCAGGGAATGGCTCCCAGTGCCAGAGGGCAGCCAGGGATGGGATCTCATTCCTTGTTTGCCCAGGGTCTCTGGTGGATTTTGTGAGCACTTGTAGGCTCCTGGTAGGAATTCAGCCTGTAGCTGATCTTTCCAAATATAAAAGATGCTCACAGGCTTTATATGCTATGTACAGAATTTTACAGCCTGCAGCCAAGAAGAAAAAAAAAGCTAAAAATTAGAATTAGGTTTACACTTGCACACAAAGTGAATTTGGGCAGGTCAGTTCTGTCCTGCAGCTGTGGGAAGGAACCTTTTGGATATAAACCCTTTTCCTTAAAAAAGTGTTATCAACACTTCTGAAGGATCAAAGGTATTTTACCATGGTTGAGTCTTTTTATGGAGCAGCCTGGAGTTCACATCAAGCTCTGCAGATGAACCCTGCAACACAAAATTACACAGTTAGTTACACAGTGCAAAGCACCTGCATCTGTGTCGGTCCCCACCAAACTTTGAAGAGAAAAAAGGAGAAAACAGTTCCTTGCAAAAAAAATAGTCCCTTTTAGGGTCATCCCTAAAAGCTGATAGTCACCTGTGAAATCAGCTGCTAATCGTCAAACTCCAGGACTCTGAGCTTTTCAGCAAAGCCCTCGAGGTTTACAATCACAGAATCCTGTGACAAGACCTCTGAGACCGAGTCCAGCCATCCCCAGCACTGCCAGGCCCTCCGCTGACCCCAAGTGTCCCCAAGTGTCCCCAAGTGCCACATCCACGGGGCTTTGAAACCCCTCCAGGGATGAGCACTCCATCCAGCTCTGCAGCTGCGCGAGGGCTGGACAACTCCTTTAGGGAAGGAATTTTCAGGATACCCAGTCTAAACCCCTGGTACAACTTGAGGCTGTTTCCTCTTGTTCTGTCCCTGTCTGTTCCCTGGGACAGAGCCCGACCCCCACTTGGCTGCACCCTCCTGTCAGGGAGTTGTAGGGAGCGAGCAGCTCTCTCCGGAACCTTCTTTTCTGCCCCAGCCCCAGCCCCAGCCCCAGCTCCCTCCGTCCCCGCCCCGTGTAGAAAATGCAGACTCTCACCGTCCTGTCCCCGCAGCTCTGAAGAGACCCCGTCCCCCCTCCCCTCGCACGGCCGCCATGGCCGCCCCACCCTCCCCTCAGCGTCCCGTTGCCATAGCGACCCCGGGGCGGGGTCTGGTTCTGATTGACAGCCCCGTGTCCAATCAGCTGCTGACGCACCAGCCCGTCGCCCAATCAGCTGCCAGGGGGCGCTTCCCGCCACTGCGGTGGTCAGGGGGAAAAGGGCGGGAAAAGCTGTGAGGGGCGTGAGGGAACGGCCGCCGCCATCCCCGCCCCTGTCCCGCCCTCAGCCAAAAACCTCAGAAATGTCACTAGGCGGCCAAAAAACCCCCACCACAACAACTTGGAGTTGAGAGGAGGAGGAGGGGAGCAAGTCGTGCTTTCCAAAGGTCTTGGAAAGATTGGCGTTTGGTGGACAGTTAGTGGAATATTCACGTTATTGCTGCGTGACATGGGGGAGTCTCTTTAAATACCTGACTCAGCCTCCTTCACCATAAAAATATTTAAAAACCAAACTCTGCTTTGCATCCTTGCAGAACCAAAGTTCTGGACAGCAGGTCCTGAAAATGATGTGTAATTGAGGTTGGATATTTCCAAGAAATCCCCATAAATTGAGGCCTGAAACACAGGGAATCGATGGAGGTGAAGGAGGCTGAGGGAGGGATGGGACATGAAGGGTTAATTTTGTTCTCTGCACCTTTTTTAGACACAGCAATTTTATCCAAGGGTAGTAATGCTTCTAAATGTGGGGTGATTTTTAAATTTGGGAAAAAATATGGGAGAGAGGAGTCTCTCCACTTCCCTCAGCACCAGATTTTTATTTGCAAAGCACTAAAAAACAGGTACAAGTGAAAAATATCAGTAGGGGCTGAATTGCCTTATAGAAAAAAAAAACCAAAACAGCTCATAGTTGCATTATTGCCAAACAACAAACACATCAGTGAGTCTGCCTGGATCATGGGTTTATTTTTACCTTTAACATTAACCTCTCTAATGGTGCATAAGTAAATTTCCTTCCTTCTTGCCTAATAGAAAGTCTTGATAGTGTAGCTCAGTGAAAAAGTCTGCATATTTGGGAGTAAATTCTCTTGAATGAGCCTTGGATAATTAAAGAAAAAATGAAAAAAATTAATTTCCACCCTGTTCAGGGAAATTCTGTGTATTAACAAAGCACATAGCATAAAAGAAACAATCATAATTACACTAATTATCTAATTTCAGCACAGACAACTGTCAGGAGGCCACATGATAATTATTGAGGCAAAAAGGAAGGCACAGAGCACTGAAATGTTCAATCAAGGAGACAGAAATCATCCTGTGCAGTCAAATGTTGTGTTTTGTGCAGAGCTTGGGCCTGGCTGCAGAACAAGCTGCTGTTTACACATGCAAGGCTTTGATAAATAATTGAGGGAAGCTTCTCAAACTCCAGAGTATAATAAGCCTGACCTCATACAGTCACTTCTGTGGTTACAAGTGGATAAATACAGAGTCAGCCAGGACATCTCTGTGTTGTTATTTTTAGGGAAATATTCACAGGAGAAAAAGGAGGGATTTTTTTTAACACTGCCAGACTGAATGGATAAAGGCTAAATGACCCCCTTTTTTTAATCACTCTTTTCTCAGCTCTGAAAGGAACTTTGTAGCTTTGCAGCCCTTTATTCTTCACTGAAATTTGCATTAAAGTCACCAAACAGCTCCAGAGTTGCTTAGAGAAATTAGTAACTCAACTCTGTATGCTTTGTATCCCTAGGAAACAGCAAGAATCTACAATAAACCAGAAGAACCTGTGCTGAGGTGCTGAAGAAAAGGTCTTACCCACAGCAGAACTTTAAGCAACACCTGTGGGGTGAAAACAAAACAACAAAAAAGTTCTTTATTGCAATTACAATGGGAACTGGGATCACTGGAGGGTTCCTGGAACCAACAGTCCTGCTGGGGTGAGATAACAGATGTTCATCCAGCTGTGCAGAAACCACCCAAAACTTCTTCCTGAAAGTGCCTTGCTGAACATATAAAATGAGAATTCCTTAACTGCTGGCCCCCAGCTCTTCTGAGAATTTTCAAGCAGGAGAAAATTCTCATTGTGAAGCAAAAAAAAATTGAAACTGCTGCTTTCTTGCCAGGACGGGACAAAGATATTTCAAATAAAGGTGTAGCCTCTCCCTAAGTCACTTTTTAGGCAGAGGTTCAGGTTTTCTGTGGAGATCTCTCTCTGGGAAGCAGCAAATTTGGTGGTGATGTTGTGAATAAATTGTTATCCAGGATAAGTTTGTACCATCCTCCACCACCCAGACATTCAGGTAAGAATCTGTGCTTCTAATCTCTCTCAGCAAAAATAACAGGCACTGAAAAGCACAATTTAAATATAAAATATAAAAAATGCACACTGGGTATGCACTGGTTATTTTTTTTTCAATATATTGTGGAGAAAAAAGACTTTGGGGAAAAAAAAGGTTTGAGCCAAATACTAAGGGATTTTCTAAGTATTTTAGTAATTAATTCAATTTCTCCTTGAGTGGAGATGGGCAGGGGTGAGGGCTGAGTTTGGGGGATGTTTTTATCCTTAAAAATAATAAAAAAAAGAAGCATTTAAATTAAGACACAGGAAGAAAATGCTTAAATAGAGAGGTGTCCTTTAAAAGTTGGTTTATTTTGAACAAAAGCATATTTTAAAAGGCTTTAAAAGGCTTAATGCCATTTCCATGAACAAGGCCTTGGACAAACCCCATGAAGGAAACATTCCCAGGCTCATTAATTATTTAAGCAATTAGCACAAATCCTGCCATAACAAACACTTGTTTATTTAGGGCTTCCCTGCCCTATATGAACACACAATGCTTTGACAAATGCCACCCTCATGCAATGCAGCTTTACCCAAGTGTATTGTTCATTATTTAATTTAAGTATTAAGTTATTAAATTGACAGAAAGTTTACAGCTCCATATCCTATTCATCCTGAAGGTTATGGACCACAGAATAATGCACTCTTTTCCTCATAAATTGTTCACCCAAGCACCTCCCCTCCCCACCCCAAGACCTGGCACAGACATTGCCCCAAACAAGCAAAAATCTGTGTAAAGCTTGGGGTGTTTAACGTGGTATTTGCTGTGCCCTCAGGGCTGCAGAGGATGTGGAATCCCAATGACCCTCAGGGAGGAGAGAAAAGGGATCTCCAAGCACCCAGCTGGGAACTGCACAGCACGGGGGTGCTGCAATGAAGGTGAGTGAGCTGGAGGAGAGCAGAGGTGCAAAGGTGATGGGTGGGTGGCCGGGGGACATGCAGGACCTGGCCCTGGTGGCACAGGGCTCTGAGCTGGGCTGTGCCATCCCAGCAGCAGCAGCAGGGCCAGCCCAGGGACAGCACAGAGTGCTGCCTCCATCCCAAGCCAGCCTGTGTTCCTGTGTTGGGAGCACGTCAGCAGCCAGAACAGGCCCAAACAAGGGAGCGTGGGGCGTGCGGGAGGGGTGGAATTCCCAATGGGAATCCTCACCTTACCCTACACGGAGACACAGCTGGGCTCCCAGCTCACTCTGCAGCCCGTGCTTTATGCTCTCCAAGGAGTCACAGGATGACCTCCAAAAGGAGGTGGCTGCTGGGCACACAGAGACCTGGTCTCTTTGGAAAGGTTTAATTTTGTCCCCAGCTGTGCTAAAACCCGCAGATCCACCCCAGCCCTGAGGGCGGCGGGAGCGGGGCTGTCACTGGCAGCGCAGCAGCTCTTCCCAGCGGATGGGCTGCGAAAACACCTCCCGCTCCAGCCACAGCTCGTAGGAGTAGTGGAAGTCCTCGGGCAGCTCCAGGCGCTGGCCCAGCACGCTCTGCAGGCAGTTGTCCACCGGCGCGAACTCCGAGTCCTGCGGCTTGTCGTACCTGCGGCTGTTGAAGGCTTCGATGTTGGCCCTCAGCGTGCACTCCTCAGCCTGGAAATCCCACGGCCTGGCGTCAATGTCTGCAGGGGAGGAGGGACAGCATCCAAATAGTGGGGGAAACACCGCTCTGACAAGGTCTGAGCAAAAGAAAGGCTGAAGGTTGCACGTGAATTAACCAGTCACTCCTAATTATTATTATTCCTAACCAAATCCCATTATGTGGGCATTTTCATTTAAGATGTCCCATAAAAATATAATTACTCCTGCATTAAGGACTATTTCAGATAGTCCATAAAAATGTAATTATTCCTGCTTTAAGGGCTCTCTATAATTATATTATAATTATAATATTATTTTTTCACAAAGACCCCACCACTTTTACTGAAAACCTCCACTGACCACTGAAGCAGGGATGAAGATTTAAAACATTTAAAACCTGGTGAGCTTATTATGAGCTCCTAACCACAAATATTTTAAAATTTGGGCAAATGTAGCTATGAATGGTACTGAAAAGCTGCAATAACCATGACATTAAGTCATATGATATAAACCTATAATATGAAAAGAATCCCAGTATGTCCATGACCTCTAAATCTGATGGTGCAGAGCAGTGCCATGAAACTTCTGGAAGAAATGCCCAGCAGTGACAAGAATTTTAGAGGTTTTGGGCCAAAGCAAGTGGAGCAAAGTGAAGCTGGCAAAGGCACAGGCAGAGGGACGGGGCAGCACTCACCGTTGCCGTAGGCCCAGTCGTCGTTCATGCGGTGCCGCACCTTCTGGTAGATGGCAGACATGGTCTTCATGTTGCTCTTCCTCCACTGGCGCCCCAGGTACTTGGTCTGGATCTTCAGCAGCTTGAGCACGTAGAGCTGCATCATGGCCTGCTTCACCTTCAGAGCCCGCTTCAGGATCGGGGCTGATTTAAACACCACCAGCATCTGCCAGGAAAGCAGCAGCCATCAGGGCAGGGTGCTCGGGGGGCAATGGAAACAAACACTGAAACAAACACTGGCTGGGCTGATGTGGGCACCAACACCCAGAGAGCCACACAAACTAACACTGAAACAAACACTGAAACAAACACTGGCTGGGCTGATGTGGGCACCAACACCCAGAGAGCCACACAAACAAACACTGAAACAAACACTGAAACAAACACTGAAACAAACACTGAAACAAACACTGGCTGGGCTGATGTGGGCACCAGCACCCAGAGAGCCACACAAACAAACCCTGAAACAAACACTGGCTGGGCTGATGTGGGCACCAGCACCCAGAGAGCCACACAAACTAACCCTGAAACAAACACTGAAACAAACACTGGCTGGGCTGATGTGGGCACCAACACCCAGAGAGCCACACAAACTAACACTGAAACAAACACTGGCTGGGCTGATGTGGGCACCAACACCCAGAGAGCCACACAAACAAACACTGAAACAAACCCTGAAACAAACACTGGCTGGGCTGATGTGGGCACCAACACCCAGAGAGCCACACAAACAAACACTGAAACAAACCCTGAAACAAACACTGGCTGGGCTGATGTGGGCACCAGCACCTGGGGAGCCACACAAACTAACACTGAAACAAACACTGAAACAAACACTGGCTGGGCTGATGTGGGCACCAACACCCAGAGAGCCACACAAACAAACACTGGCTGGGCTGATGTGGGCACCAACACCTCAGCCTTGTACACCACAAACCCCCAGGAGGGAGAACAGGAGCGTTCAGCACAACCAACACTCTGCACAAGGCTTGAGGGTCACAGAAATAATGTTATTTGCAGGAGAAAAAGTATTTGTGCACTCAAGGCTCAATCTGTGAAAGCAAAAAGAGAGGATGAAGAAGAGCAGAAGTTCCAGCAGTTTCACAAGGAACCCTGAGCACAAGGCCAGGCTGAACCTGCTGTGTAGAGCCAGGGAGAGGCTCCAGGTGAAACGCTGGAGGGTCTCAGGGGAGGGGACACCCCCTTACCATTGTCCTGGAGTGTTTCCACTTGGTCAGCTTGTTGAGGATCCTCAGCAAGTTAATGCAGGAGAACAAATTCCTCCAGCAAAACTGGTTGTTGTCCCCAGCTTCCTGCAAGGGGAGAAGTGCAACCCTGACCACAGCGTTCATCAGCACCGCCAGAGATGTCCTTAGGCAGAAATCTTTGTTTTTATTGTCTGCACAAGTCTTATTTGTGAGGGAGGACAAGCAGCAGAGCTTCCTCCTCACTTTGGTTTTCCCCAGAATCTGCTGATGATAACACTTCTGAAACATTCCAATTTTAATCTGCTTTTAATTTAGAGTAGGAGCTAATAATGGGATAAATCCCATTATTCCATCACGGGAAATATATTTTGTGGTAGATTTGTATTCTTTGTTTACAGCCAGAGAGCAAATTTCAGCCTGGTGATCACCACTGCTTTTGGCAACTATATAAATTAATTCATGCTTAGGGCACACATTTCCAGGAAAAGGAAATCACAGATCAGCACAGGATGACAAATAGCAACGTTTGTATCAAGAGGATGAGACCTTTCTGTAACAAAAACCCCTGCAGCTTAAGTGCTGCTGAGACATTGTTTTAAATATTAGGTAACTGTAAACACCCCCAGCCCCAGCTTGTGGAAATACTGCCCGTGACACTTGGAGATTTAATTCCACCACTGCAGTAACTTGCTCCATGTTTGAACAGCTCCAAGCACAGGAGAAATGTCCCTCAAAAATCCTGTTTTGGGGATTAGTGCACAGCAAGGGCTGCTGAATTTATAAACCACTCACAGCCAGCTACAGCCTTCTTAACTCAGGGCAAAAACTCAACCCATTCCAGGATCTGGGCACCCTGGGGAGGGCTTTGAAAGGAGATTTAGCCAAGAAAATCCTACCAGCACAACCCCTTGGCTTTTAAAGGCAAGTGCCAGCCAGAATCAAGGAATCACTGAAGTTGGAAAAGATCTCCAAGGCCACCGAGTCCAAGCTGTGTCTGATTCCCACCTTGTCCCCAGCCCAGAGCCCTGAGTGCCACCTCCAGGGATTCCCTCCAAGGATGGGCACTCCAAAGCTCCCTGGGCAGCTCCTGCCAATGCCTGAGAGGCAGCCAGAGGTGGGATGTCACTGGAATGTCACCGGGATGTCACCAGAATGTCACCGGGATGTCACCGGGATGTCACCAGGATATCACAGAGGTGCTCGTGGATGCTGTCTGGTGCTTTGGGGGTCCCAAACTGCATTGCCCCTGCAGTGTCACATCGTGCCCAGGACTAACTTGCACTCTCTACACCAAGTATTTATCCCAAAGATCCCAGTGGAATAAGCCAGTATCCATTTCTTAGGCTGATGGATTTGTCACCAGTCTGATGCTCTCTCTACACATTCAAGGAGGGAGGGTCTTTCCATCAGATTTATGGGAGGAGGGAACAGGCCAAACAGGCTTTAATCCCCCTTCTAAGGGGTGGGTTAGGCCCTTTGCAGACCCCTCTGGAGGGACAGGAGAGGGGAGATGGGGACTGGCCAGGATTTGAATCCCCCACCACCTCAGCCACTCCTGATTTACACCGGGTGGGGACAGCAGTTACCCCACAGGCCCCCCCTTGGGACACAGCAGTGCTGGACTCATCCTGTTCTCCTTGGGATAACCAAACACACATCACTGTGCTCAACCCACTGAGAGCAGAATCATCTGTGACATCCTCTGAGAAATGTGTTACGCTGGGGTGTTGAAATCACTCATCAGAGTGGCAAAAATGGCTAAAACAACGCGTGAAGTGCTGGCTGAAAAAACATAAATACGTGCACAAACGTATGCTTCGAGTAGCAGGGTGTGTCTGATCCCTATTAAATCCTTACTTCCATGGGTATCCTCCCAAAGATGAACCCCTATGGTAAAATTCAAGGTGGTTTCTGCATATTTTCTAATTAAATTGCTCTCCCTTGAGGATAACATCCATGTCTGCTGGAGGAAAGTGAAAGGTGCTGTCCTTGAAGGTGACAGCTCTCAAACTGTCCAGACCCCACTGGGACTATTTTCCCTAAAAACATTCAGTATTCCCCTACAGCCTTAAGGCTGACTGTGAGGATTACACAAGCCATGAAACCCTCCCTGAAGTGTCACTAGATGTCCCCATCGATCCAGGATACGGTGGAGTCTGGCCGGGCTGGATGGGGACACCCAGCCTTCAGCAGCCTGTGGACCCAGGGAAAATCTCTCTCTCTGATGTTTTTGACCTTTACACACTCAAAGAAAGCAACACAAGCCTCAGATTGCAGCAGCACCATGAGATCATCCCTGCCTGGAGTGGGTTTGCTCAGGATCCTTCTCAATGATTTAGGGTGTCCATTCCCTGGCCATTATTTCCCATTAACCCCAAAGCTTTCCCCTGTGCTGTCCAAGTCCAACCTCCTCTGCACTTGAATTATTGTAATTATAACAATGATTACACTGCCAGTGTTATTATCCCATCTGCAGTCTGTGTGTTTGCCCAGCCCATCCTCTGGCCAGTCTCTGGAATACTTAAGGCTCCTCTCTGTGGGGAATTTGGTTCATTCCTTAAACTGGTATCCCATAGCACAGGAGTGCTCAGAGCAATTGAAACCTGGCAGGCAACAGCCTCTGGGTAAACTCTCTTTCAAAGCACAAGAGTCTTGTCTTGTCTTGTCAGAACAAGAGGAAACAGCCTCAATCTGTGCCAGGGGAGGCTCGGGTTGGACATCAGGAAGAATTCCTCATGGAAAGGGGCTCAGGCCTTGGCAGGGGCTGCCCAGGGAGGTTTGGGGCTCCCATCCCTGGAGGTGTCCAAGGAATTCCTGGATGTGACACTCAGGGCTCTGGGCTGGGGACAAGGTGGTGTTTGATCAAAGACTGGACTTGATGATCTTGGAGGTCTTTTCCAATCACAATGATCTTGGGATTCTGTGATTCTGTTCTGTCAAAGGGAAACCCCTAAACCCAGCTATTTTTATGGGGTGCCCAACACCAGCAGTGCCTCTTCCCCACTTCCCCACAGCTGACAGTGACTCAGAATAGTGATGGGAGTGATGTTCAAGCCTGGAGGAGAAAAAAAGTCCAATTTTGGCAAGGTTGGGGGCTACAGAAAAAGAAGACAGAGAACAGAAAACCCAAATCCTTCCTCATGCTGTCACAAAGAGCAATCCTGGCCACTAAAACCCTTCCTGTGCTGCTTACCAGACTTTCTGCTGTGAGCTCAGGCAAGTCACAGACTGTGCAATGTGGATAATCCAGGACAGAGATGCTGCAGAAAACAGGAAAGAAGGGCCTTGTTAGCCAAATGTCACCAAATGTCACCGTTAGGCTGGATGTGACATACACATGTGATCAGGGTCTAAGAAGAAAAAAGTTTTTTTATTCTGTGTGTTCTCTAGCTTATATACTCTTTAACAAAGCATGATCTTAAGTCATTGACTATATCACAGTAACTTATTATATTCATTGGTGCAAAGCAATTCACATCAATATAATTAGCAAAAGTTTTACAGAAATTTAATAAGGCACGCATACGCATCTACTTATGCACATAGTCTAGCTTACAAAAATTTTCATGGATCTTTTCTAATTTGTTTCCATGCTGACAGCCTTGTCTTCTTCTTTGCTATGGATACACTTGAAAATCAGCAATTGTTACTTCTTCTATTAACTTAGCTTTGCTTGCAGGCCAGCTGTCAAGCCCTTCTATACTACCAATTAACATGAGAGAAATTTTTAAGGTGATCTGTATGATCATGCCCAGGAATCTGTAACATTCTTCCTGCTCTGTGCCTGGAAATGCAACAAGTGGTTTGGGTGGGGAACAATCCCATCTCCAGCACGTGAAGCAGCCATGCTGATGGCACAGACAGCATCCAAAGGGGATCCCAGCCTCAGCACTGCCTCAGCCCCCAGCTTAATGGAGCACATCGATGCCTCCTGGCTCCAAAGCTCCATCCTGAGTCCATTAATAAGGACACAAAGGATTTGGATCCATTAAGACATGACAGATGAGTTATTCATATGCATATTTAAAAAGGGGAAAAAAGTAAACAAAATAGATCTGAGGTTCACAGGGAGGCATCTGGCTGGCAGCAAGAAAATTCATGGTGAGTATTTAGAGTATCATGTTTTTCAAAGGCTTCCAGGCCTGTGGAATTTGTAAAAGCAGTCAATGAAATACACCCAGAACCAGAATTTACACCTCCCTGGCTCAGAGCGTCCAGCTGCACATCCCACCTGACTCCCAGGTGCACATTCTGCCTGTGAAACCTCCATCCCAGAGCAGAGGAGGGAGCTGAGAGCTCCTGGGATACGTTTCCTCCTCACTTAAAAAACACAGGACCAAAAGTGGAAATATTTACAGCAGGAGGATCAACACATTACTTCCTATTTTTCTATGCGTGCCTCCTCGCACAGACACAACCATACCGTGCAGGAGACAGACCAGCCTACACACGCAGCTGAAGAGCCACAAAAAGAGCATCAAAAAGGAAGAAAAAGGATCTTTTTATCATCCCAACACCCCTGTGGAGCTCCTCTCCAAACAGAGAAATCCTGCCCTGGTGAGCTGTGAAAGATCTGTGCTGTCTCAGGTCTCTGATCCATGGTGGTCCAGCCAGTGCCCAAACCAGGGCTGGTGCCTCTCTCAGATCAGCAGTAAAGGGCAGTGACAGCTATGGAAAACCTGAAGGAGTCAGGAAAGCTGAATTACAGCTACAAAAAGTGGGAAAGACCTGGAAGATCCTATCCCATCTGGCCTTGATGAAGTGTGGCCCAGAGATGCTCGGTGGCACTGGATGGCTCCCCAGGAGTCCATGTGAAGATGAAAACTACTTCATTTTAAAGAAGAAACCTATTTTATTTTAGCACTATTTCAGCAGCCCAATCAGAGACTGGAAACCCAGCATCCACTCATCCTCATCATGCCAAAGGGATCTGCTCCCTCCCCATATTTCTGTAGTGTACAGGACACCCCAAAGCCTTGTCAGGCCACCTGGGTCCCCCCAGGACATCAGGGTGGGACAAAGCATGAAGCCTTCCTGCCCCATCACCTGTCTGTCCCCCACCAGGGGCTGTACCTGTTTTTGGCAGTGATGTAAGACATGATGTTCTGGTTGAAGAATTTCAGGATCAGCGGGATGCAGTTGGCAAACACCAGGTGCTGGGACACGTACTCAAACTGGGGGAGAGAAGGGAAACAGGTCAGCTTTAGGGGAGAGCTGGGAGCACCACCTGGGAATGGCAACCTCTTCCCAGCCAAAAGCAGAGCACTTGGTTTGCCCCAGACACCTCACAGAGCATTCTGTCCCTGAAGTTTGCTGTGTAAGGTTTGTGTCACGCACAGCAGCTGGAAAATTCCATTTGCCATAGAGAGGACACGCACACTTCACAGCAGTGCTCTGGGAATAGCTGCACCTCATGGCTTTTCAAAATTAAATCTGGCAAAACAGTGTGTGGGGAAGAGGGAAGGGGCTGTAGCTATTACATGAGAAAATACAATAAATCCTATTGCTCTCACACACTAATCCCAGTTCCCTCAGTAATCTTGACTGAAACAATATCCCTATTTTCCCACTTGCTTTTAATTCCTCTCTCCCTCAAAGCATTAAATGGTCTTCAAGGTCCCTTCCAACCCAAACCACTCTACAGTTCATTAATACAACAAATCTCTCCTGTCCTCTAAAGATACAAACTGCACCAAACCCCAGTCCTATCCCATCCTGCCCTTCCCATGCCTCTCCATCCAGATCTCCAGTTTGAGAGGGAAGGAACAGTTTGTTCCCATCTCAGCCTGGTGCCAGCTGTCAGCATTGGCACACCACAGATGACACAACACCACAGATGACACAGCACCGGGAAGTGCTGGTGAGTAATGGACCCTTCCAACCCAAACCATTCTGTGGTTCAGTGGTTCCTTCATTTCAGACCTCCTGGAGTTCTCACGGTGCTCCCTGAGACCACCTTTGTCACAGAGAGAACAAAATCAGCCTGATCAGACACAAAGAAAAGCAGAATCAGGGGGATTCAGGAAACCCTGCAGCTTTCTCCAGGCTCAGCAGCAGGCTGCAATGCCCTCCTGCCTGGGGGGAAGAAAGGAGAGGAGCTGCTTTGAAGTGAGAAAAATTAATGAAGGGATGTGGGGAGGGGGAGCAGAACAAACGTAGGATTGTAAAAATGTGGGAGTTGGTTTCATTTTACCCAATCCAGGACGTGGATTTATATTTATCCTCAGTTAAATATCAGTGGGTTTTATAACGCAGAGGGATTTGTAGCGTGCTGAAAGCTTTAACAGAAAAAATTAGAAAACATTAATTGTTTGACTTGCAGAATGAGTGGAGAACTGGGCCACAGCTCATATTAGTCCTTGGGTTTTTTTAACCAAGGAAAGCCCTGGAGTGGGTGCAGTTTGATTGGTGCCATGCAGATGGAACAAAAATCACATTGGGAACAAAAATCAGATTGCAACTATGACCCAGATCTCCTCCTCTGTTGAAACTGGAGCCCCAAGAACCCGATCCTGCCAAAAGCAGATTAGGTGACCTCGTGAGGTCCTTCCCAGCACTATTTCTGGGCACTGGAGATGACAGAGCAAAAGAGAGTCTTGCCTAATCCCCTTCCTCTTCCCCCTTCTGCCAGGGAGGCTGATGCTATTTCCTAAACTTAACCTGAATGGATATTCCCAGAAGCCTAAAAGCTCCTGCCACACAAGTAGGAAAGGTGTTGCCAAAGCACAGCGGGGTTATCCCAACCTGAGCAACCCTGAACAAATCCTGGAGCTATGGAAATGTGAGTACAGCTCCTCATGGAAACTCTTCCAGGAGAGGGTTTATCAGGACCTTGGAGCCCAGCTGGGCAATGCCATCCCTTCCTCCAGGCCCACCTGGTAGATGTGGTTCAGCTTGAAGTGCTTGAGGAGCAGCAGCAGCAGCGCTGAGATGCTCTTCACGATGATCTCCTTGTGTCTGTTCACGTCGATGCCCAGCTTCATGCTCTGCAGGACGGTGATCCTGGGTGGAGGGAACACAGCTCTGGGCTGGGGCAGCAGGGAGCCCAAGGGACCCTGGAGCTCTCCTTCACCTGGATCAGCTCTACAAAACCAAGCACCTTTCGCTCCCCCCAGGACTCCCATTTCCACCCATCGCACTGGGTGATGCCAAAATGTGTTCAAAAAGGAGGTAAAAAAGGTGGATTGCAGTAGGAAGGACACCTCTTGTATGCTGACAAATCTTTATGATTTGGGTCAATTAGCAGGATGTTATCATTTGTGCCACTTAGCTTGGAGTGGCTGCACTCAAATCATGGCAGCATCACTGCCTTGGCTTTCACAGCTCTGCCCTGGTGCCAACTGTAATTCACACCTACCCAAACAGATACCCCAAATCTGAAGCCCCCCAAATCTATTGGCTCTCCTGCTTGGTCCAAGGCTTGGTGGCAAGGCTGGCATGGCCAGTGGCCACCTGGTGAGGGACTTACGGCATCTCTTCAGGCAACACGTCTGCCAGGATGTTGATGGAGTCAGTCTTGGCCTTGGAGGTGGGTGCAGCAGCCAGGAGGATCTTCAGCAAAGCGATCTGCAGGAGAGGGCAGGTGTGGGGGATGGCCAGGAAAGGGAATTCCTTCCTTCTCCACTTGCTGAAACTGGATAACTCCAAGCCAACTCTACAGGGTTTCACCAGACCACACTCAACCTCTGACAGACAGGACAAGTGTGGGGAGCCAACAGCTCTGTTTGATCCTTAACCTAAGGCATCACATGTGCCTGAGCTCTGGTAGGGAGAGTGAAACAGCACGAGGAACACCTCGAGTTTAAATGCACTTAAATTCTGTCTCTCCCTACAGAGCCCATGTTACCCAGCCAGCATCTCAGAATCTCTGAATCCCTCCTCTTGGACTGCACTTTCCTCCTAACTCTGCTCAGGATTCCCACCAAAATCTGACAATCCAGGTCCTGAACACCCTCCTGTGCTGAGCTCTGCAGCTCCTGGACTGGCACCATTCCCTACTCCAGAGCTCTTCCTTCCTTTTAAGGAACGGGGGCTTACCATGTACTGGGGGAGATTGTACAACATTGCTCGATACAACACCTCACAAGGGGTTTCTTGCACTTCCTCTTCCCCCTAGGGCAGAGAAACATTAAAAACAAGGAAAAATGAACTAAAAATAAGCATGGATTTATGTGACACCTTGGAAGCCTCCCATCTTCTCTCTGGTGATGGGGTGAAACAACTTCCTCCTCACCAGAGACATGGGGCACTTCTCCAGCTCCTCCTCGTTCTTGATCTGGACATCCGAGATGGAAACGTACTTGTGCTGGCAAAACACACAGACAGAGGCAGAGCAGTGTCACAGTGTCACAGGAAACACACAGCAATCCCCCAGTGAGGTGTGCAGGTCACAGCACAGCCACGGGCAGCTCATCCCTGGCTGGGACATCCCTGAAGCCCCCCACACCTCCTGCCTTGGGTTACTTCCACCTGCTCCTTCTAGGAGCTCTCTGCAAGGAATTAGAGGGACAATCACCTCCGAAAGACATCCCAGACCCTGGATAGGGTCAGGTGGCCTCTGGAGGGGTCTCATTCCCCACAGAGCACTGCAGGAGCTGAGTCTGGCCGTGCTTCCCTCTGGGAAAAGCCCATTTGGGAATGTATGTCCAAACCCAGCTCTGAAAGTCTGTCACCTTCAAAACACATGACAGACATTCACCAGGAAACAGGAATGCTACACCTTGGATAAAGGGAAAGTTAAAATGCTGGAGAGGCTACTTGAGGACTCAGTTTTTAATTTTTTGCCTCAATTCTTGCAAGAAGCTCCAAAAGCTTTTCCTGTGGCACCCAACTTTTTACTCCCTGCAGTAAGAGTGTTTCAGGGAGGGTGGCCAGGAGGATCCACATGGTGGATATCCCATGCCATGCATGGAGCCACCACCTCACCTGCTTCAGGGTCTTCACACTTTCATGGATTGGCCGTGGGAGCCCTATCAGGGTTTCAGTGTCCCTGGGGAAGAGGAAAGAAGGTCAGTACTGGGAAGAACATCCATGCTCAAACATTCCCATGTCCCAACAGGTAAAAGAGGGAGCCTGGAGTCTGCTGAATGCATCCCAGATGGGTCAGCAACTGGGAGAGGTGTTGGCCTGAGCAGCTGCCCTCCCACCTCTTCCCCATCATGCCTGCACGAGGCAGGAGAGACATTGGGGTGAAGAACCGGGGTGAAATCAGATTGAATCAGAATTTGGGTGAAATCAGATGACATCAGAAATAGGGGTGGAGCCAGTCTGAGCCCAGCACTGCACCTAAAAATGAATGTACCCTGCTGGGCCTGTCCCAGGATGACTCTGCACCCACAGCTTGATTTATTCACAAACTGGGTAATTTGCTGTGGATACCAAACTGTCTCAGCTGCCTTTCACATCATACCAGTTCCTGGCTTGGGCCAGCGGTCACTTATTCTGGGCTAGGTCTGATTTTTAATAGAAAGAGGTCCCTGGGGACCAGTGTCTCCAGGAACATGCTTTTCTAGCACTGCTTCCATTGCTGCAGCTCTGGCAAAGCCAGCACTGCCTCATCCTGAGCAAGCCTCGAGCTGGGAAAACCTGAGCTTTGTGCTGAACCCCCACTGATGGAGGCTGCAGGGCAGATTTTGTGGATGAAACACTCACTGTCCCAGCGTGAATCCGATGAATTTGTTCCTGCTTGCTTCCAGGAAATGCTCGATGTCTTTCTGTCTGATGGAGCAGCAGAGAGACAAAAAGAAGGAGGAGGTTGGAAAACAGCCACGTACAAGATCACAGCCTCAGATGGATTCCTAGAGATCTCAACAGCAGTGGGCAAAAGCCACCTTTGCCCTCTCTGGCTGGGGACACCATGAACCTAAACCATTCGTATTTGCTGGGCAACTCCATGGGAACATGGGAGTAAACAGAGAGGAGTTTTCTGCAACCAGCACCTTTGTATCCACCTCCTGTGCTCCTCACACGCATCTCCAAGGAGCATCTGCTGGCTCTGAGAGAACAAATGCTGTCTCCATGGTCTGTCAGAGCACACGCTGCTCCCACAGCAAGCTGACATCTTGTCCACCTTGGGCATCTTTCATGGGAACTGCTGGGCAGCTCTGCACTACAAGCAGGACATGAGCTGTGAGCCAAGGCTCTCCTGGACAGAAAGGAATCCAGCTGGATCTCCAGCCAGCAGCCAAGGAAAGCAGCAGCCGTTGGATTTCAAAGTGTTAAAGTGACGTGGAGCACCACAGCACCACCATGGAGATCCATATGGGAAACCAATTCCTGCTGTTTCTGCTAGGAATGCTCTGGACAGACTGACTTAACCCTGTCACTGCTCCTATCTCAAAAATATCTATTTGCTCCTGTGTTTTAAAGATACTGGATTAAATCCAGGCTTGGGATAAACAGCAAAAAAACCCTCACATGGATCAGAGGGAAAGGGGCAGAGGTTTTCACCCTCTTTTCCTAACATTCCCTCATTTCATGTGTGAATAGCTGCCCTGGGAAGGAAAGGCACCAACTCCTTTATCCTTGGGTGTTTTTCTCTGCCACCAAAAAAGGCTTCACCTGGCAACACAGGGGTCCTACTCACCCAACAAGGTGTCATTGACCAGCTCCCAGGATGATTAGTCAAGGACTTGGTGCTACCAAGATCCACTGGGACCTGGCTGGGAAAGCTGACCCTGCTCCCACAGCACCCCAGCACAGCCTCCTTCCCAGTACAGCCTGGGATATCCAAACTGGATCACCACCTATTGGGCAATAAGTTGGTTTGCCCATTTATTGGCTTGGGCTGGGTTTAGCTGAGCTCTTCCCCAGAATTTACACACCAAATGTGGCAAGTGGCCAATCCAGAAAGGACCAACAAAAAAGAGAAGCTGATTCACTTCAGCTCAACCTGCCAGAGGCCAAAAAACTTCCCAAAAATCTGCAGTGAACTCTAGGACAGGTAGGTGTGGGGAGGAGGGCGGTGACACTGGGTGGCTTTACCTGACTTTGGGGGCCCAGGGCAGCCCCTTGGGGAAGGACACCCTCTCAAGGGGCAGGCGCTGAGCCGGCATGGCGGGGATGAGCGCGTCGCGCTCCACCAGCTCCAGCTCGCCCTCCATCCCGCCGTCCACGTCGTCGTTCTCCTCTTCATCAACCCCTCCCTCGTCGTTCTTGAAGGGATCTCTCTCGTTGTAGATATCCAAACTGTCCTGCTTCATCAGGGGCTGCACAGAAGGGGAAGGAAGCACTCGAGTCACTTCAAGGATTTTATCTCCCTCTCAGGTGCTGGCACCAGATCTCTCCATCCTGAAAGGATCACACTCTCAGATGTTCCTCAGGTAAGGATTTCCCTCCTAGATCGTGCCACCAAAGCCTGCACAAGAATAATTCCTTCTGTACCTCTAACCTTGCTGCTCTAGGAGGTGCGACCCCGTTTTCCACCTTAACTTTTGGGGTTTCCATCTGACATCTCTTCCTTAGCAAAAGGCATTTCCATCCTCAGAACACAACACAGCAACTCCAAGAGCAGAGCTAAAAAAAGAACTTGCTGTGAGCAGTTTGCTCCCCGGTGCTTATCAGCCCTTTGCCATAAGGTCAGGATGTCCTCTGGCTTCCTCTGGATCAAACACACCCCATGGGGCTGATCTGTTGCAGTTGAAATTGGTGGATGAAAAACTGGACATGCTCTGACCACATGTACTGAGAGCCCAAAATCCCCCCAGCATGGGCAGCAGGGGAGGGGGGGAATCCTGCCTCTGTGCCCTTGTGAGACCCCACCTGCAGAGCTGCCCCAGCCCTGGGGACACAGCAGCAGCACCTGGAGCTGCTGGAGAGAGCCCAGAGGAACCCATGGAGCTGCTGCAGGGCTGGAGCCCCTCAGTTCCCAGGGAGCCAGGCTGGGAGAGCTCGGGGTGCTCCCCTGGAGAGGAGAAGGATCCAGGGAGAGCTCAGAGCCCCTGGCAGGGCCTGAAGGGGCACCAGGAGAGCTGCAGAGGGACTGGGGCCAAGGCCTGCAGGGACAGCACCCAGGGAATGGCTCCCAGTGCCAGAGGGCAGCCAGGGATGGGATCTTGGGAAGGAATTCTGGGCTGGGAGGGTGGGGAGGGGCTGGGCTGGAATTCCCAGAGCAGCTGTGGCTGTCCTTGGATCCCTGACAGTGTCCAAGGCCAGCTTGGCTGGAGCTGTGAGAAACCTGATCTAATGGAAGGTGTCATTTGGAACTGGATAGTCCTTAAGGTCCCTTCCAACCCAAACAATTCCGTGAGCCTAAAACTGGCAAACAACGGAGCACCTGTGGGGAAAGGGAATTTGCAACCAGAGCACTCCGGGCTCCTCCTGCCGGTGCCTGCTGGAAACCCCTCCCGGCCCGGGAGGACGCTCCCGCTCTCACCCTGCGGCTGCGGTGGCTCCGCTTCTGCTGCTGCGGCTGCTGCTGCTGCTGCTCCACGAGCTCGATGGCGCAGGTGGGCGGGGAGGCCGCACGCATCCCCCGCACCACCTGGATGCTGTCCTCGGGCAGCGGCGGCAGCCCCAGCTCCTCCCGCCGCCGCACCTTCATGGCCTGCAGCGCCTCGAACCCGCCCAGCGTGAACTGCGGACAGACACAGAGGGAACACGGAGCGCACACAGAGCGCACACGGAGCGCACACCCCTCCCGGGCAGCTCCCAGCTGGGGGCCATCAACCGCGAGAGCCGAGGGGAAGGCATCACCGCACTCCTTCCCTCTCCAGATTCCTCCCCCAGCCCACATCCTCAGCCCACCCCCATCCCAGAAGGAAGTTTCCTGGTGTCAGCTCCCGGTGCCGTCCTAAATAACCCCATCATGGCTGGGCTGAATGGTGGGGAACATGCAGCTGCAGCAGCGCTGTTCCAGAATCAAAGGAAGGGTTTGCACTCACCAGGAGCACCTTCCAGAGCAGGAGCAGGACCTTCTTCATGGGGAAGTGTGGAGCGTGGCCGCTGCAGAACTTGGTGACCATCGTGAAGAGCAGCAGAGCAAACGGCTCCTCAGTGTGCACAGGGAAACCTGTGCAGAAGGGACCAGGAGTGGGTCAGAGCTGATCCCCCATCCCTGAGCTCTCCCCGCTGGTCCAGCACCACAGAGGGACCTCCAGAGGGCACAGTGAACTTTGGGGCTCACTCAGCTCCATCCTGAAGGTCTCCCGGCAGGTTTTCCACTCGGGGGGATCTGTCTCCTGCTCCACACGGATGTTCTCCACCATCAGGTACATGACACTGAGCAGGACCCTGCCAGGACAGCACAGCAGGCCGGTGTGAGGCCACTGTGTCCCCAGAGGATGTCTCCCATCCCTGCCAGCACCCAGGGTACCTGAGCTCCGTGCTGTCAGCCAGGGAGATGGCTGGCTTCCGCAGGGCACTGCTGCAGGCCTGGCTGTTCCTGCAGGACAGGGGTGAGCTCAGGGCCAGCCCCCTCATCCCACCCAGCCAGCCCCTGGGAATGCCACACCGGGACATGTGACACGGCTGTGGCACCTCCCTGGGAGGAGGATGGGGAGGAGGATGGGGAGAAAGAGGATGAAGAGGAGGGTGAGGAGGATTGGGTGAAAGAAGATGAAGAGGAGGAGGATGAGGAGAAATGGGTGAGGAAGATAGGGAGAAGGAAGATGAAAAGGAGGGAGGTGGGAAGGATGAGGAGAAAGATGAAGAGGAGGAGGACGACGACGAAAAGAAAGAAGATGAAGAGGAAAAGGCTGAGGAGGATGAGAAAGAAGATGAAAAGGAGGAAGATGACAGGATGAAGAGAAAGAGGAGGATGGAAGGAGAAGGTGAGGAAAGTGGGGAGGAAGAAGTTGAAGAGGAAAGTAAATTGGATGGAAGAAGAGATGAAGGAGAGAAAGCAGATCAGAGAATCACAGAATCATTTTGGTTGGGAAAGACTTCCAAGGTCATCGAGTCCAAGAGGTGGAAGGGTGAGAAGAAAGAATGAAGTAAAGAAGAGCTCAAGGAGGGAGAGGTGGGTGAGGGCAGCGCAGTCCCCTCACTCAATCTCCATGTTGAGGAGCTCCAGGAAGGCAGAGAAGGTTCCCAGCTGGTACAGGAGGAAGCTGTTGTGCCGAGACCAGTGCAGGACATCACCTTCATTATCACAGTCCCCAAAGACACCTGGAGAGGCCCCAGAGAGAAACACTGGTGAGGGAGCATCTGCCTTTGAACCCCTGGAGTCCACAGGACCACCCCAGGCAGGAGCTTCACTGCACCAGCCTGGCACAGCCTGAGAAAGGCTTCTCCAAAGCCCCATGGCAGCAGATCTGAGGCCACATCCAGCCAGGGGGGACGTGTCCTTACCCTGTGCCAGATACAGGATGGCCCGTGCCACTCTGAGCCTCTTGTCCCTGTTGACCACCTCCAGCCCATCCAGCAGGTGCATGACATAGGCCTTCTGCTGAGCCCTGTCCAGCTCCAGCCACCTCCTGTCCGGCACTGCAAAAGGGACACCAGTCCAGCCAGGTGCTGCCCTGGGGGGCTGCTCTTGCCCCAGGCCAGGGGTGCTGAGCTCAGGGCTGGTACCTTGAGTGTGAAAATCCTCCTCGAAGCATCTCCTGTTGTGGCTCAGCTCAGGCTCCTCGGTGTAGCTGTACAGCTCTGATGGAGACAGGGATCAGCAGGGACATGGAGGGGATTCACCCTCCTCCTTATTCCCAAATTCCTTGGGAAGCATCCCTGTGCACCCAGGCAGACGTGGGACAGAGATCTAAACTGGTCCCTGAGCCCTCCTGCAGCTCCAAGGGCACCTTGTGGCCACCCAATGCCACCAAACTCATCCCCTTCATCCCCATGTCCTGGCTGGGCTGTTTCCTGCTCCAGCTGCACTTCCAATTTCATTGGGGTTTTTGAGGGGACATTTTGAGTCTCACTTAAGCAGTTTGGGAATGAAGGGAATGCAGGAACACCCAGGCAGGACCTGCACTGATCCCACATCCAGCAGCTTGGACATTCTGGGTCCTGCAAATAGGGGCTGGACTTGGAGGGACACGACATTGCACCTGCTCTTTGTAATTCCTGCCTGTTCCTGTAGGATTCCTACCTGTTCCTATAGGATTCCTACCTGTTCCTATAGGACTCCTACCTGTCCCCACAGAATCCCTACAGTCCCGAGGCGCTGAGCAGCACCACAGAGGACTGAGGTGATCCTGCAGGGAAGGAGGAAGGATCCCTTGCAGAGGAAATGTGTTTTTGCCAGGCCAGCTGAGATACACCGAGCTAAAAATAACCCCATTTTCTCTGGACACGCTCGGGAGCGGGGTTAGGGAGCAGAGGCAGCTGGAGGAACATGGGGACAAGGACAGACCCACCCGATAAAGGGTGGGTGGCACCTCCCGCCTGGGCTCTGTCACCGGACACGCCGCCCTGCTGCCACCCCGGCGGGTCGCGGGGCAATCCCCGTGTCCCCACGGTCCCTCCACGTCCCCAGGGAGCGAGCGGCTCTCTAATAATAACCCTGCTTGCTCTGATACTGCAGGGACGGCACCGCTCCGTATCCATCCCCCATCCCGGCGGGATTTTCCTTTTCCCTGCCTGCCGGGCACCTGGAATTAACAATGCAGCACCCAGAACCTGCTTCACCTGCCAGCTCAGCGCCGTGGCCGTCGGCATCCCCGTACTCGAATTCCAGGTTGGGACAATCCACGGAGCCCTGCGGAGAGCGGGATGGGGTTAGGAGGGGGCTGGCACATCCCCGGGGATATTTTGGGATGCGGGATGGCTGCCAGCACTCGCAGCCTTTGCGCCAAAGCTGCTCCAGCCGCGACTCGCAGGGATGGAGCTCCCGGGCTGGAGCGGGGAGTCCGTGCGGGGCCGCTTAAAACACGGCGGAAATGTGGAAGCCGTGTGTAAAACCAGCATTTCTCAAATCCCAGGGAAAGCAAAGGCACGACACAAAATGCCGGTGAATGTTTGATGCATTTCAGAGCCCTTCACGCCCTAAAAACAAACCCCGGGGCTGGTTCAAAGCAAAAGCCCGCGGGAGGATGCTGCGGATCCCTGAGCTCCGTGCCCAGCACCGCAGATCTGACAGCTCTCGGGGCCGCGCTTTGCCTTTCTGGGCTCCCCCTCCTCCCCTGCGGATGAGGAACTGGAGCATGAAACTTGGCCGGAGGATTCCGGCGGGGCAGCGAGCAGGCAGCCGAGCCAGACGACCCAAGGCCGGCACCGCGCCGCCCTGCCCCGGGGAAGGGAACACATGAATGGGTAATCAACGAAATTAACATAATTCCCCATTCCGAGGCTCCGCATCCCTGCTCGGCAGCCGGGCTGGAGCTGATGCGCATCGTGGCGATTAATATTGATGAGGCATGAGCCCGGGATGAGCCCTGGGCTCAGGAGCGCTGGGGTCTCGCCCCGTTCCTGCAGCCCCGCCGTGGCGCGGCTCGAGCGCTCAAAGCCGGGCAGGAATTCGGCGGAGCGCGTGCAGCCCTAATCCGCTTTGAGCCGGAGAGCAAAGAAAACCCCAAATTCACCAGTCGGGCACCACTTGGACACCGTTCCCAGGGACCCTTTTGCGGTTAGGGAGCCCCAAAGATGCCTTTAGGGTGGCCGGGGACATCAGATCCCGCTGGGATCCTGGTGACCCGATCCCGGTCCTGCTCTCCCAGCCGGGCACTCACGAAGCCGCATGGGCGCAGCTGGGGCAGGGCAGCCCAGCGGGGTTTGGTGGTTCCCCCGTGCCCCGGGGTTATCGGGGTAGGAGGGGTGAAGGGAACAGCGGCACCCGGCCCTTGGTGAGGGGCAAAGGGGAGCCCAGAGCCCAGGTGGGTCCCCAAAACCCTGCTGCCGGCTCTGGGCGTGGGGCTGGGAGGTGCCAGTGCTGGGGCTGAGCCAGCACCCCAAAACTCTGCAGCTGGGTCTGGGAGTGCCGCGGAGCGCCCCTGGGGCTCCCCGCTCCTGGCTGGGCATCGCAGGACCCCTAAAGCGTCCAGTTTGGGGTAGGGAGCGCCCCAAGACCGGAGCTCCCCCAGTCCTGGATAAGGCTCCTTCCGCAGGGACCCCAGCCCCGGAGCAGGGACCCCCTACGCCACCGCAGGTCCCGGCGGAGCCCGGGGGGAGCCAGCACCGAGCTCCGCGCTCTTACCTCGGACTCCTTGCGCTGGCTCCTGAAGAGCTCCCGGCCCTTGGGCTGTGGCTGTGGTTGTGGCTGGGGTTGTGGCTGGGGCTGTCCCGGGCGGGCCCTGCCCGGGCCCGGGGCTCCGCCGCCTCCCGCCGCCTCCATCCCGCGGCCCCGCGGCCGCCGCCAGCACGTGGGGGCCGGGCCCCGCCACGCCCCGCCACGCCCATTGGCCCGCCGGGATCGGGGGAGTGGCCTCAGGACACACCCCCGAGTCGCCATTGGTCCGGAGCGGGGTGGGGCGGGGTCGGGGGTAACGGTGGAGGGAGTTGGGGGGACCCGGGGGTCCCTCGGGATGGGGGGGCCTGGGGACACGGTGGGGGAGACGGGCTTGAGGGGACAGGGGGCGTCGGGAGCTGGGAATGCTGGGGAGTTATGGGGGTCCTTGGGGTGCTGGGAGCAGGGAATGCTGGGGAGTTATGGGGGATCCCTAAGGCAGTGGGAGCAGGGAATGCTGGGGAGTTATGGGGGTCCCTGAGACAGTGGGAGCAGGGAATGCTGGGGAGTTATGGAGGGTCCCTGGGGCGCTGGGAGCAGGGAATGCTGGGGAAGGAGAATTTATGGGGTGTCCCTGGGGTGCTGGGGGTACAGAATGCTGCCATGGGGTCACGGGGTGTCCCTGGAGCGCTGAACTGGGGCAGCAGGGCAGGAGCCGGTGGTGTCAGAGGTGCCCGTGGGGTGGCCATGGAGGGGCCGGGGGCACCTGTGGGGCTGCAGCCGCCCCAGCACAGGCAGGGCCGAAGGTTCCCGTCCCCGAGGCACCCCCGGAGCACCCGGCCCGTCGGGCTGTCCAAACCCCGCTGTCCCCATTTCGGTCCCAGGCAGCTCCCGGGGCCCTGGAGCAGGGTTTGTTTCCATTCCCACACCCAGTAAGGGCGGGCCGGTTGTTTTTGGGGTGACTTAGTCAGGTTTGTGCCCGACCTCCGTGCCCCTCACGTCCCACATCCCTTCAGAGCCTCTGGAAGGCTGAAAACCCCCAGGGTTTGGGTTCAGAATTCCCTCGGCTGCCGCGGCAGCGTGCGCGGCTCTGCTGGCAGGGCGGGAGCAGAGCAGATAACGGGATTGCTCCGGAAGAGATAACGGGACCGGGATCGTTCCCGCAGCACCTCCCAAGGACACACCGGCCCAGCCGCCCAAACAGCTCCGGCTGCCCCAAGGACGCGGCCCCGGAGCCGCTTCCCCAGCTGGAATGGTCTGGAAGCAGCAGCAGGAGCTCAAGGCTCCGGCTCTGGGGACAACCCCCCCATCCCACCACATCCCCGATCCCCCCTTGTCCCCCCCACCCCAAAATCCCACCTGACCCCGCCTGACCCTAAGGACACTCGGGAGAGCTTGAGTTTTCCAATGTTTTATTTGTGTTTTGAGATTACAGAGTCTTTATTGCTGATCTAATACAATCACTCAGACATTAATATTTAAAACATCCTTCTGAAATGTTACGGTTGCGACGTTTTCGTTTCCTCACTGCTGATGACGAGTTTTGTCTTATTATTATCTCTAAAGTTCAGAACAGAATTAATTTCCTTTATGCGATTTTGCTGGTGTTACCTAAGATCTCATTTTTCCTAAGTCTTGAAAAATGTGTTACATTAAAAAAAAAAAAAAAGATGAAAGAAACCAAACCCCATTACACGTTTAATTTAGAGATGATCATAAGATATGATTCCAGGTTGATTAGGAAAAAAGCCAAGCGAGCCAAAAAGCTTTTACAGGAGAAGCAGAACATGGAGAAGAGCTTTAAAAATCGAGGTGGGAAAAGCCAGTTGGGATTTCAGTATTAATATATATATTTTTTTTTTCCCTTCCTATCTACCTCGAAGATAAAGGGGGGTTAAAACTGGGCACGGAGGGATCTGGGGGCTGTGCAGAGCAGGCACGGGGTGGGACGCGGCTCTGGGGATGAGAGGGGTCGGGATGAAAGGGGCTTTTCCAAAGGGGCTTTTCCAGGGGGAAGTGGCTGTGCTTGGGTTGGGATGGGATTCCTGTTCTTCCCAAAGCTGCTCTGCCCCAGGGACCCCACAGCTGCATCTCACCTGGGCCAGGAGCAGCTCCCACGCTCCCAGAAAACAGCAGGGGCTGACACAGACCAGGATCCAGCCCGGGGAGAAAGACCTGGGTGGGATGTTTCAAATTGCTCAGGGGATTCTTCCCAAAAAATCTCAGGATCTGGGTAAAATGAACGAGCAGAGGTCATTTCAAGTCTGTGCTTAGCAATCAGTCTACTGGAAGCTTCTCAAGGCCTGAAGGTCTCCTCAAGGCCTTCGCAAAGCCCTGACGCCTTCCCAAGCTCTCTTCAAGGTTTCCTCAAGCTCTTCTCAAGGTTTTCCTTCCTGATTTTGAGAGATTTCAAAGAGAAACTTGGAATAAGCCGGCACATGGGAAGTTTGCTCTGGAGATGAGCGACTTGTGGCCAACCTGCCTCCAAATCTCCCGAGAGCCGTGGGAAGGACTTGAGGCCGTAATTCCTCCGTTTTCCCTTCCTTGTGCGTGAACGAGCTGCCACAAAAAAGTTCTCCATGATGGCCAAGAAGCCCAGGAGGACAAAACACGGATCTGCAGCTGATGAGAGACTCGGGAACCAACAGGGAGGACAGAGGCTTCTGTGCTCACGGGGCTGGGCAGTTTCATTTCAGAAGGATCACGTTCTCCATGTGAGGGACAGAAGTGACTCCGCTCAAACACTTGGGAAGTCACCTTGCTAAGGGTCACGCTGTCCTGTGCTCAGGTCAGACATCCTGGGATAAAACAGGGAACTCTGGCAAATTTATTCTCCATCAGCTCGGACACGTCGAGGTGACCAAAGGGTTTTAGTGATGCTGAACTCTCCCTTCACACAGAATCCGTGGGGGCCGCTCCGGCGGACGTCTCATACATTCCAAAGGGGAATTCCAGATTCGTACAAATACGACCAGAAAATAAAACTCCGAAGGTTTCCAATGAGGACTGAAATTCAGCTGGAGAAGGACCTGGGTCCTCCCAGCCGGGCGGCCGGCACGCTCTGCCTGGCGCGGCAGGAGCCGCCGGGCGCGGCAGCAGCATCGGTGGGCGAGGCCCTTCCAGCAGCGCTGGGAACACGACTTTGGTTGATCCAGAGAGGTTGGCACTCGGAACGACAGCAGCAGGAAAACGCCACGGGGCTGTGCCCAGGGGAGCGGCGCCGGCTCCTCCGCGCGCTTGGGGCTCTCCCCGGGCCAGCGCCAACCCTTGGGCACAGCTCCGGGCAGTGCTAAGGCGAGGTTCCCCGGCTGGGCACGGCCCCGGGCACCTCCAGGGCACACGGAGAGGCTTCTCCAGCCAGATTCCCGAGGTGGCTCCCGGCCGGGCGGCAGCGCCTGGAGCCGAGGAGGATCTCGGCTCTGTTGTCAAAGCGCCGGGGATCCCCCGGCTGCCAGGATCCGGCGCCGCCGGAGAAGCGCTGGGGCACGGAGGAAACCAAAAGCGACTCCCAGGCCGGGTCCCGCCGAGCGGGGGGTGAGCAGGGATAAGGGAATATTCCACAGCTCGATTCCAGCAGCTTCCTCCTCGCCTTCCCCGTCCTCCCAGCCCCGGAAAAGAATGAACCCAAAGAGAAAAATGAAAGGAACGGAAAGAAAATCCAGCGTCTCCCAGTCCCGCGGCAGGACGAACACCAGTGGCAGAGGCCACATGAACAGTATTCTAATTTAATAAATAAATAACCTAAAACACACTGTCGACTATGGCAGCAAGCCCGGCTCTAGCGTGGGAAGCTTGCGCGGTTTCATCCTGTACAGTAGTTGAGAAAGACTCGGGTGCTTGTTGCGGTTCCTCGCGATTCTCCGGGATGCGGCGGCAGGAACTCAATATCTGGGAAAAGGAGGAAGAAAGAGGCTTTGGTGAGTGAGGAAGGGATGAGAAGCTGTCCCAGAACCACCACGGTGGATTTTGGGAGGGGGAGACGCCAAGGACAGAAGTGGCTGAGGAAGGGACTGAGGAAGGTCCTCGCTGCCCCCGAGGTGCCCATGGGAAGTTGGAGGGGTCGTGGCTCCCCCTCAGGGCAGGGAATTCCCTGAGACCCTCAATGGATCCCAACCTCTCCAGGACAAACCTCGCTCCCAACAAGGTTGGGCCATGCCAGAAACCAAAACCAGGGACAAACCTCACTCCCAACAAGGCTGGGCCATGCCAGAAACCAAAACCAGGGACAAACCTCACTCCCAACAAGGCTGGGCCATGCCAGACACCAAAACCAGGCACAGAGAACTGAACCAGAGGGAATTCCTCCACAGCCACAGGGAAGCACCAGGATTTTGCAAGGAAAAAAGCTGAGGATCTGGGAAAACCCAGTGATCCCCAAACTGGGAGTCTTCTGGTGCTCTCTGCCTGCCAAGAAAATCCCTTTTCCTGCAGGAAAAGGATCTGGGCTTCACCCTCCCCAGCAGATCCACTTTTGTGCAAAGCCATTTCATTTTCACAATGGAAATTCATGGCAGTGCTGGCTAAAAAAATGTGGAAAGGGAAGCGATCCAGGGCTCCTACTGAAAATTATTATTATTTTGGGGATCTGCCCAGCCCATGCTCAGGAAGGAGCCTTGGAGCTGAGCCTGTGGGAGCAGCCCTGGGGCTAAGGCCGCTCTGTGCCACCTCATCCTCCGTCAAACTTTAAAAATAAAGCTGCCACCGAGCCGGTGGCATCGCGCTGGCATCTGCCACGTCTGGGTGACAGCTGCTGCCACGCACAAAGGGCTCCTGTCCTGCCAAGAGCTCCTGTCAGGGCTCCAAGTGCAGCATCCCCTTCCTGCTGCCTGTGCTGGGACTGAGCAGAGAGACCTCGGAATCATCTCAGGGCTTGTGTGGGGTTAAACCCCAGGTGTCCCCCACAGCAGGGCAGGAGCAGAGGCCTGGGAGGGGACAGGGCTGGAGGGCACTGGGAAGGGACAGGGCTGGGAGGGCACCTGTAGTAGTTGGGTTTGAAGGGTCCGTTCTTGTTGAGCCCCAGGTACTTGGCCTGCTCGTCCGTCAGCTCCGTCAGGTGCGCGTCGAACGTGGGCAGGTGCAGGCTGGCCACGTACTCGTCTGGGGGAGGGCAAAGAGGCCAGGCCTCGTCACAGCAGCCAAGGGAGGCCACAGCGAGGGCCCCGGGCTGA